GCGGGTGTGCGGGTGTGCGTGCGTGCGTGCGTGCGTGCGTGCGTGCGTGCGTGCGTGCGTGCGTGCGTGCGTGCGTGCGTGCGTGCGTGCGTGCGTGCGTGCGTGCGTGCGTGCGTGCGTGCGTGCTTGCTTGCTTGCTTGCTTGCTTGCTTGCTTGCTTGCTTGCTTGCTTGCTTGCGTGCTTGTGTGTGTGTGTGTGTGGGTGTGGGTGTGGGTGTGAGTGTGGGGGTGTGTGTGTGTGTGTGTGTGTGTGTGTGTGTGTGTGTGTGTGTGTGTGTGTTTGTGTGTGTGTGTGTGGGAGCGTGCGTGCGTGCGTGCGTGCGTGCGTGCGTGCGTGCGTGAGTTCGTGCGTGCGTGCATGCGTGCGTGCGTGAGGTGCGTGGGTGTGGGCGTCGGTGTTGGCGCTGGTGTCGGAGCCGGTGTTGGTGTCGGTGTCGGTGTTGGTGTTGATTTCCGCTTTGGTGTCAGTGTCATTGTCGGTGTTGGTGTTGAGTTTGGTGCTGGAGCTGGCGCTAACGCGGTGGCGTTGTTGTTGGCGTTGGCGTTGGTGGTGGTGTTGTTGTCGGCGTTGCCGTTGTGGGCCGTGAGAAAAGAAAGCCTACCAAACAAGTATTTGCCGTTGGCATGGTAAAGGAATCCGGGGTGCCACCACAAAGACTTATGTGGGCGGGTGATGTGTCAGGAGGAGGGCAAAGACCTGGTCACAAGAGCAGGGATGGAAGGGAGTCTTCCCTGGTACTACTGTCCCCCCGCAATTCCCCAAAAGGCCACCTTCCCCCTTCCTTTGCGCCAGCGTAAATTGAGACACCTGCTTTCGCCCAACCGCATCCTGGTCCGCCCACTACCAACCAACATTTCATGTTTGACCACGGACATGCGAGTGCAACGCTGCAGGGTCCTTTCATGGCCACACCATCCAAGCCGAAAATCGCTTCAGGAACACAAGCATGCCGCTGCGCGTTGGGGACCCTTGCGCGTGAAAGTGTCCGGATTTCTTTGCCGAGTGTCTCAGCTGGGGACTCCTGGGTCAAGACAGAACCTCGGCTTCGTCGACAAGGTTGTGCCGCGGCGACCAGAAAAGCTGCCCCCCTTGTATCCACTTGGTTTCCCGCGAGTTTCCTCGCTTGCGCGAGAGCAAAAAATATTGCAAAACCGCATCGCTTTGCAAACTATTCAAGACCTTGTCACCAGTCTGTCGCCAAGACCCCGGCTGCCTCACGACCACGCAGAGCGAAGGCTCGCCAGGGAACCTGCCTGGACACCGTGTGTTCGCCGCAGTTGAGACCTCATAGAAGCCACAAACCCAAATGAAGAGTACTTGCTCAAAGCTACCGTGGCTTGTCTATCTGTGCACGTCTCTGCCAATGCATTTGTCCGCCTTTTGACTTATTGATTTGTCTATTTTTCCATCTACCTATCCATCCATGTACCTACCTGTACATCTACTTATCTACCTGTCCATCTGGCCATCTATCTACCTATCTGCGCATCTATGCGTCTGTACATCTATCCACCTATCCGCCATCTATCTGTTTTGTCTACCTATCTATCTATCTGTCTATTTCTCTACCTACCCGCCTATCCATGTAATTACCGATATGTCTACGTGTTCTCTTCTTAATTAGTTATTTCTTTCTTTCTTTCTTTATTTATTTATTTATTGTCTTTCCTTCCTTCCTTTCGTTCTGTCTTTCTTTTTTCTTTGTATATTTCTTTCTCCTGCCTTTGTTCTTTCCTTCCTTTCTGTCTTTCGGGCTGCGAAGTTCACCTCCTAGCTTCTCCTGCCAACCAAATTACCGTAAAGACGCAAGCTAAATTCGATGTACCTTTTCACGAATTACTTCACTATACGGAAAGCACAAACTAACTTGTCTCAGCTGACATCAGAACCCTAATCAACACAAGCAAACATAATCGCAACTTTAAGTATGAAAGTGCACGCGAAGCGCGCTCTCCAGCTGTGCTGTTAAAATCGCAACCTCAAAGTATGAAAGTAGTAAACCAATTACACTTTTCCGGCTACACAAAAGTTCGAAAAGTGCGATTTCTAAGTACGAAAGTAACAAGCGAAGCGAGGTCCCGCAGCTGGAGCTTGGAAAGTGTAACTTTTGGCTCCGAAGCAACACGCGAAGTACGCAGCTCAAAAAATCGAACTTGAAAAAAAGCGACCAACTCTTAGTTGCAAAGGTGGAACTCGACGATGTGCTGAGCAGCTCCAGCACGCAAATCACGATGTTTCAGCTAAATAGGATGCCAGTACGCTTCGCCAGCTCCTCGAACATGGCAACTTTGGAGTATGAATAATGAGTCACGCAATCTCTACTTCGACGTGCAGCACTCGACCAAAGGCCCTGGTCGAAAATCACAGGCGTTTCGATGCTTCCGGTCCACCCGCTGTCTAGTTTGCTTTCCTTTCTTTCCTTTCCCCTGCCCTATCAGAACCAGATCCGTCTCGAGCACAGCCCCCTCCAGCAAAAAGCTTCCTTCCCCGACTCTCAGCATCCCCTCCAATCATCTACTACCCCTCAAAGTGACATGCCTGGCGAAGACTGGACGGCTTTGCAGCAGCCGGAGGTTGCTGTGTTGAAGTACCCCAGAGCAGGGTGGAATTATTCATATTGAAGTATATACCAAGGGTTGCGTACTGATGGGCCTTCCGAATGATCTGGTTCCCTGGCGTCACAAACGCCCTTGAAACAAACTCCCAACCCAGGGGTTAGTCGGCGTTGCTCAACAATGTCGACAAAAGGAGCGCGTCTGACACATATCTGCACTAATAATCATAAGTTGGTAACCTGCCAGAGTTAAGGAATGCCTCGCAAACCTTCATACCTGCAGGTGAGATGCGATAGTTGCTGACACTGACACACACACACACACACACACACACACACACACACACCACACACACACACACCGCCCCAAAACAGAACGGCGGAGGCGTGCCTTGGAAACGCACATGGACGCATCCCAGTCCCAGTCGACGACGCCTGGCTTTCACAGGGTGGGTAAGCAGCCTGTGGCTTGGCTACCGTCCCACGACATGGGGATTTGATCAGACACTGCGCTCATTTTCCCACTAGTTCAGCGTGCCCGGGGTCATCTCCTTTCCTGCATCAAGTGGACATGAATGTTGATACCCGAGACTCATTTCCGGAAATTTGACAAGCACAGTTCGCCACACTAGCAAGTTCGTGCAACCAAATGATACTCTGACTGTGTCTGTGTCTGTCTGTCTCTGTCTGTCTCTGTTTCAGGTTGTGCTCCATCTGCTCAGCGCCTTAAACTAGCAGTTTGAGGCAAACGAACGAGCAGTTTGAGGCAAACGAGTTGCCAAAGCCTCAAGTTGGCCTTCGGGCCCGCGGGCCTGCGGGCAAATGGGCCCTTGTGCCTTCGAGTGGCCGCCCTCACCGATAGCCAAAGGTTTTTCAGAAGGAACTTGTGATGTGCAGGACCTGCCTGGAAAGTCGTTAAGTTGTTGTGAAGACAAATAAGCACCCAAATGTGATCCATTCAAAGCAAGGAGGCATTGGTCCAATCAGAAATCGGAGACGAGCTCCATGTGTTGTTGATTCCGCAAATTTGCTGTCCTTTGCTACTATCGACAAACAATCATCCCTTGGACCATATCGTGAGCCCCGACCCTGAAACTTCCCCATCGGCCATTTCGAATACTTCCCCTGGAAACTTTTCTGGAAGTCGGAATCTCAAAAATTCCCAGCTTGACGATGTGCCAGTTCTGATCACGTGCATTATCAAAGTGGAAACCCCAGGTCGTGACCTGCGCAGAATGTTGGACAGGTTTCCTTAGGGAGGCTTCTTCGGGACGAAAGAGCAACCAAAATGGGTACGTGTAAAAAGAACAGGGGGCCTCAACAAGAAAGGTTTTCCTCCTGGTTCCCCTTACGTACTTTTAACACACACTCTCATTTCTTCGGGACAAACAACTCCACAACTCCTGACATTCTTCTCACAAGGACCTTTGCGAGCCGAAGCCATGGGAACGTTTGCATCTTCCAAACGTCGACCCAGAATTGGCAAATGGGGAAATCTGACACTGCAAAGTCTGCTAACAGCGAAACACTGAGAGAAAAACAACCAACATCTGGGGCTGGAATTGTGTCATCTATGTTCACTCAACTGTAGCCGTTGGGTCCAAAAACAATTCCCGGACTAAGCCTCTCGTCCTCATCTTCTCCAGCTTGCCGCCCTGGCTTTGGGCAAACCACCGCTTAGAAAAAGCTCGAGGACTTTGGTCTCCAAAAAAAAGAAAGAAGCCATGTACAAGGTTTATACCAAACTGTACCTGAGGTTCCCCCGTCTTTATCTGAAGCACCAAACTTGTTCCAATGGCAACAGGGGTGCATACTGCAGAAGAATTTGCCTCTGTGGACAGAGCTATATGATATCAGCCACTTCGTTCCCAGCATGTACTCAGAGTGTGTCAACCTCAGTGTGCAGAGCGCTTCGCATTGTACATGGGGCTCTCAGGGCGAGCAACGAATTCAATGAAGGAGAGACCACGAAAGGGGAATATGTTTAGAGTTTAGAGGCTGGGTTGGTTCAACTGGCAAACCACTCTGCAAATTGACATGAAACCCCAAAGCCATCAGTTCAGAGCACCTTTTGGATCGGACCCATCTTTCGGGCTCCGGAAAGAGGAGAACAAAGCACAAACTTCCGAAAGGGCTGCAGGATTTTGTTGGGTGTGCTTTCGCGGATCCTGGGGTGCAGCAAAGTGGGATTCCACTGGCTCATCCGGTCTTGGTTCAAGTCCCATGCCTTCATGTCCTGGCATCTTGCCATCTGATATGCATATATATATATATATATATATATATATGCCTCAGAAGCTGCTTCAAGGAATGAACCCCTGACGCCATGTTATATAGTGTGGTTCCTCGGATATAGTTTGGTGCATACAGATTCGGTGGCAGGCGAGGTAGGTTGTATGAGATGTGGCCAAAATATCCCGGAATCTACAGTCTGTTTTGAGGGACAAGGGGGAAACTCGCTGAATAGTCCAGCCAAAACCTGTCACACAGCTTCGCGGCGCATGTTTGGCTCACATGGTTCTGGCGGGTGAGAACTTTGTTGAAGGAGGGAAATCTGTGCGATCCAGCATTCGATCCAAGCAAACGGCGATATATACTTTGCTGTTCCTTACGCAAATGTAGACATCTGGGTCTGGGGACGCACCACATACCCAACATGGTCACCCCTCCCCTCCACATCCCAAACCTGATTTAACAGCGCAGTTTCCGTGTGCAAAGAGTACGACCTGGTCAATTCTAGTGGTCGACCGATGAAAAAGCGCTGAAAAGTTCTACCATGCACATACTGTCATCTTTCCCTTTGACAAAAGGAAGCCTAGACATGATTAATTCACAACTCGTGCATCAATGGTTCACCACGATTTCTGTTCAAACCTGAGTGGCCCAGCATTGACAACCATATCTCATCAGTTGTCCGCTTGAGAAATGAACACTATACAGTATTAATCCGGCTATGCTTCAATCATTTCTCATCATGTGTCCTCTGAAAAAGGGCCCGAAACATGACTAACCCACCAGTAGTACAACATCTATCCCTCTCATAATAATCCTCTTTTAAAAGGGGACCTTGGTCTGAGTGTTCAAAGTCTCCCAAAGGAGTAGAATATGAACCCGTCAGCAGTGCCTCTACAAGTTTCAACAAACCACCAGCAGCAAATGAGGGTTGTTCCTGAAAAGGGAGGCCTTGGGATGCCTTTTGTCGACCCTTTTGTGAACCCCCTTCAAGGAAACATAGAAGGGCACGCGTTTCTTTCCAAGCTCTGCTGTTGAGCATCCCACTGCTGTTTGATCGCTCCTGACGGTTTTGCAAAATGTGCCTTAACGAACGCCTTAGCGGGCCTCAACCTATTGTTGTATCTGGCGACGCATTTGTTGTTCTTCATCCAAACTCATCTAGAATGAAGTCACCGTAGACATTGTCAACTCCTTGAACAGGCACTCGTTAATGTGACTGAAAGGGATCCTCTTTAGTGTCCAACTTGTTTGGGGTTGCTGAAATTCCCAAATCAAAGCCCTCAGCCTTTTTCTTTTACAGGGTGGTTCACCTAAGAAAGCTCTTCCCAGCTGAAAGGCTAAACAGTAAAGGCCTTAGATCTAGGAAATCCATTTTGCGAGTGGTCCCCAAACCATCAAATTTAAGATAACTTCTCCACAAACAAGTAAGGGCAAACAGTCACAGGGTTGCCCACAAGGATCCTCTTTAATGTGATTCTTCTTGGGTCCTCTTGAATGAAAAATGTTTTTCCAGAAAACAAATCCGGGCAAAAAAGACTGGCTCTCCCCCAGCTAAATTAGAATCGGCAATACCAAACTAATTACTGGGAATTTGAGCGATCGTCGATTCCCACTGCAACCGCAGTGCAGCACAACTTCAGGAACGATTTGGCCCCTTTGTGTCAAAGCCAGACGGATGAGGATTGAGCCTGCACTGAGGGCATCAAAGCAAATGATGATGCAATCATTTCCGACTTGCTCATCGATCCAGGCAAGTTGGCTTGCGCCATGGCAGTCACGCTCTCTTTCGAGACTCCAGACTCCCAATGCCTGATTCAAGATTCGATAACGGCACACCGGCCCAACCCCAGGCCAATCCGGAGGTCTCCCCATTCACCCAACCATTTCCGCGCCTGATACATCTTCTGAGCGGGTAAGATCCCATCCCAGTCGATGACGCCTCGCGAAATGGCAATCCAGCACGTGGGAGAGTAAAATTGGGCACCCCTTGTGTGGATTCTCTAAACAGGAAAGGCAAAGAAACCCTATAGTAGGAGAAAGAAACAAACACCACACCCTTTGGCAATCAAGCTCACCTTGTCATATTGCAACGCCGCCTGAACTTCTGATGATTCAATCGCAACACGCAACGAAACCCAAGATTAAAACAAATAAGGAGAAAGGAGCATGCAATTGTGTTGCTCAGATTCATGCCTGTCCAACATTTACCAAAGCTGAAAAGATGTGTCCTACTGCCCATATGTAAAGCATGTCCCACAGTCAATCAATATTTATCAAATGAGATGTCAAATGACGACAACGCGACAGGAAGTTTGGACGTATTTTGTTGACTGCGATCTTGAAAGCGCTCCCAAAACAAGGATCCACCCACGCGTGGGTTCGAAGTTCAATTTGCAAGGATGAAACATCAATCCCCTTGTCAAGACACTGATGTGCTTTGGACGCAGGGAAACCGTCCTTGAAAACCGGTATACATGGCTTCGGAATTCAAAAGAATGAGCCCGTCCTGAAGTCCTCTCAAGCCTTTCTGGGCGGCTTCGAGCTCCCAGAAACCAAAAAGTCATGTCGATGGTAAGCAAACCTTAATGGCGGAGTTGAAGGCCGCAAAGGAACATCGAACATAGTGAGCCAGCAAGCCCGTGCCCCTGACCCCTTGGTGCCGAGGACACTTCTTGCATCTTGCATCCCCAAGAACCCAAAATAGCCACACCCAAAAAGGGGCCCTGTTTTTGCTTGTACAAAACGCTGGAAACAACAACGCGTTGTTGTGTTTCTTGTTCTCTTTTTGGGGCGGGGGGCTGTTTTTCTTTGACCCCCCCCTTGTACCGACAAAAAGCCCTTGTCCCCTTGCAGCAGGCACAAACAACCCGGGGGGGGGGGGCGGGGGGGGCGGGGAAGCAACACACGTCCCGCCAAAGCAGGTGATCTCTCATGGGCTTCCATGGCTCTCTGCAAAAATGATGGGTGTCCATGCAAGATGGATTTCCATGACAGAATGATTTCCATGGAGCAAATGCTGGATGTTCAGAAACAAAATGATGGATTTCGACGTCCATGGGACAAATCAGGATTTCCATGACATGGATGTTCATGAACAAATGATGGATTTCCGTGGAAAAATTGTGGATGTCCATGAGCAAATGCAGGATCCATGGAAATGTGATGGATATCCGTCAGCAAATGATGAGTTTCCATGAGCCAATGATGGGCGTTCATGACACAATGGAGGATTTCCATGAGAAAAGTATGGATGTCCATGAAAAATGCAGAGTTTCCCTGAGCAAATGATGGATTTCCATGAAACTGTCAGGTTTTTCATGAAACAAACAGGACTTTCATGAAAACATGAGGGACGTCCATGCAAAAGTGAAGTGTCCATGAAACAATTATGGATGTCCATGAAAAAATGCTGGATGTCCATGCACAAATTGAGGGAATTCCACGAAAATACGATGGATGCCCATGAAAATATGAGGGATGTCCATGAAAATATGATGAATGTCCATGGCCAAATGACGGATTTCCATGAACAACTGATAAATGTCCATGAACAAATCTGGATTTCCATCAACATGCAGGATTGTCATAAAAATATCAGGAATTGTCATGAAAATATTGAGGTGGTGGCTAAATAGACCCTAAGTGTCCCTCATCCTCCCCACCCTCGGAAAGCCTTCTGCTCTTCTCTTCTGGCCCTGAGCCGGCGAGTTCGGTCATTGCGGTTTGGCACAGTTGCGTGTCAACTGCTGTCTGTCTGTGACACATGTTTCAGATCCATGCACCTCACAGTCTCTCGCTACAACAACAGCACATGACCGCACACCTCGCCATGAGGTCCATGAAGCATCACTGGGCTTTATGAGCTTGTCAAACCTTGATCTTTGAGACCACGTTGTGTTTTGGAGATTAGGGACAACTATGAAAGCGAGTTGCATCTGGCAATAGCCCGCACAAAAATATTTAACGGTTTCATGCTTTGGTCAGAAAGGGTCGTCTTGAGTTCAAAAATGAATTGAGGCAGTTGGCACCTTTAAAGTAGTGTCATCGGGGGGTGGTTAATCGGGCGTCCAGCTAACAAGGGACCCGCCAAAAGCCTGCAACCCCAACGTTCCCGTGGGGATGAGGCTGTGTCCTCCCAAAAAAAAAAGAGCAGACCTCCAAAGCTGGCCATGCCGGTTTCACTGGGGTTGCTGGAGCATGCTCATACACACCTCCCTTGCTTTCCAACCAATATGCCCATCCCTGGATTTGGCTGGAACTGACTGGGGTCATTAAAAGCAATTGGGCCAGAGTCTTTGCCAGACATGAGCTCCATCACCCACAACCCAATCCGGGTTGTCAACGGGGCTGTGGAAATCGCCGCTTCCGTAGTACCAAAGTGGGCCATACTCATGCTGGCTTCATCGCTTTACAGGGGAGTCCAAAGCGTTTTATGGAAAGTAGCAGGCCAATTTGTCCACATCATGATTGTCCATACCACGGTTTCGGGCTTTGGCCCATTTGGATGTCGATTGTCCTGTCGTGCCTTTGGGGCATCTTTGGGGCATCTTTTGGACTCAACCATTCTCGCCATGTCATTCAGTTGGTGAGCCATTTGCATGTTGGCACTATGTGAGAATGACCGACGTTTTGCCGGCCCCGCCAAACATTTGAATCAAAATGCAAAAAGAATGGCGCCAACTTTGGGTCCTCACACACAAACGTGCCAATCAAGTGATTGATCCATGTTTTGGCAGACTCAGACACACACACACACACACACACACACACACACACACACACACACACACACACACACACACACACCGACCTTGTTGAAACTCACAAGATGTGTGTTTGGTCATGCTTGGCTGATACGGGCTTAGCTCCATTCTGCCACCTTGGTGCGGTATCTTATATAACGAGAAAAGTGCCTGACGGAAACTGGAACAAATGTTTAACCCCTCCTGATTTCATCTTGATCTACTTCCCTTTGGATTCACAAAACATTGGCCACGAAGACCTAGAACTATGCCCCCATTTCCCTGCCCCGCCTGGCTGTCTAGGCTTCTCAACTTCACCCACGCCATCTCCTGAACGGGCTCCTGCGCCACACAGTCTTCAGCGCATGCCACTGATCTCTTGGTGAAGGTCCATCGGCCCTATCTGTCAAAGCTAAGGGAGCTGATCGAGTCATGGTGTCCTGTTTGCGGATTCTCATGCCAATCAGTCCAACTTATGCCTATAATGGTCGCAAATCAGTCCAGCACACGAAGATTCTCTTGAGAAATAACAAAGGGAAAAAGTGAGTCCGATCCCCTTCAGGAAGCTCCTGCATCACGTTCTTGCTCAGGGTTGGTGGTTTGTATCGATAGTTCCGAGGTGAAAAGGCCCCACCAAAAACACAAAGAGTTTGGGCTCAACAAAGCTAAGCCCAAATAATTTGGCCAAACACATAAGATCACGCTCATGAAGTCTGTACTCAAGGCTCTGCGCAGCCACTGTGGCAACCCGGATTTTGGGAGTGGAGTTTACGTGTTTGGTTCCCCAGGACACCTACTGTCACAAGTGGAGGGATCTCTCAGGAAGCCAAGTGAGCTGGGTGAACTGTCAAGAAACCATACACCTGAAATGGGGGGGTCCACTCCGAAAAGGAAACATGCCGCAAATCGATCGCAAACCTCTCTGAGGTTGTTGAGAGTTTTTCAGGCTTTGGAATCGCACGCGGCACGCTTCTCCTGCTGGACGCTTGCACCAGTCCCCATGGCGAAACTGATTGCGCGTGCTAAGCACGGCCAAGGGCTTTGACCAAAGGCGATCAATCCATGCGATCCCCAAAGAATGCATAACGTGAGCTCGGCAACATGTGCCACCATTTGAAGCCTGCCACAAAAACAGCTAAAGTCCGGGTCCGCATCCATGCTGCACGACAATCGAGGCTTCATGGCTGCGTGCGAGTTGAGGGATTGAAAGCGCAACACCTGCGGCCTGCGGCCCACTTCACGTTGTTGAGTTTCCAAACCAGGACGCATAGAGCAAGCGCTCTGCAAGTTTATATGGAATCCAGAAATCATTTTGTTGGGCTCCTTCAGGGACCCCGTCTCTTCCCACTTTTGCAGGAAGCAGCGAGGACTCGGCTACACAAACGGAGACTTGCTGGGTATCTGCCTGCCTCCAGGAACCTGCAATTTGGAAACGAGGGCCTGTTCTCATCTCAATAGGAGAGTCCTTTGCGTTTCCTCCCTGATTCTTGAGTTGGGGATGCTTACCAAACAACAAACGGGGAGGGCGGCCATCTTTTCCCCTTTTCCCAAAGGAAGATTCCTCTGTTTTGTTTCAATGGGGGGATTCTTCCCTTCAACTTCTGAAAAATGACCTAGGTTTTTGGGGTTCAACGCGTTTGGCCACAATGAGATTCTCCCATCTTTGTTGGGGGGTGTGAAATTTCAGGAGAGAACGTTTTGTGCAAATGGGACCCTACAACCAACTTAGCAAAGGAGGATGTGTTAAGGACAGCAAGTGCCCGGAGTGAGAAATATAATGCGGATGAATCAAGACTTCGGAACCTCTTCCCCTTGTTCGTGAAACTCCCTTCCAAAAAAGGCAGCGCGGCGTTTCCTCCGGAAAATCATCTCTGAGAGGCGTCCGACTTCCGACTTCCGACTTCCGACTTCCGACTTCCGACGTCCGACGTCCGACGCCCGGCCGTGGTGAAGTAGCAGCCGATGCCAAAGGCCGCCCCGGTGTTGATCCCCCCGAGCCGCGGGTCGAAGCCCTCGCCTGGGTCCGATAAAGCAACTGTACGCCCCACCGTTGGCCCCAAAGCTTACGAAGCAACCCAAAAGGAGCCAACTTTCGACCGGTCTTCTCCTTCTTCTTCTTCTTCTTCTTCTTCTTCTCCTTCTTCTTCTTCTCTTTCTTCTTCTTCTTCTTCTTCTTTTCTTTTTTCTTAGGGGGGTGTTGCGGGAGGGGGGGGTAGATATTTCAGTGGGAAAGCGATCTGTGAGGAGGTCCTTCTATCCAACTCGAATGTATAATGAAGTAGCATTGAGGTCACCTACAAAATGATGGCCTGAAATCTGGCTCTTCGGCTCTTTTCCCCATTCGGTTTTACTTGGGCTTACCGATGGCGATGGCAGCGATGTCCCTGCTGTCTGCGTGAGATTTGACATTTTGGCTGCAGAGAGATCTGCAAATTCTGAATACTGCGCCTGCTTGAGCTGTTCGAGGTGACCACCGACTCAGAGGGCGACGCAGCAAGGAATAATACACTGAGTTTGAGAACAACGCAATCGCAAACACCACAATTGAGAATTGAGAAGCCTGCGCAGACCCCGTTTTGTTGGACCCATTTTCCAGCACTTGCTAATTAAGAGGCGCTTGCATCCAGCGCTTCCCCCAACGGTTCCTTTTGGTCTCCCGTGGCCAAGCAAGAACCGCTAGGCCATGGCAGTGAGGATGCGTCCAGTCAGAACGTAGCAGGCTACTCAAAGCCTCACAGCAGCCGGGAGTCGAGCCAGCACTTAACTTCGAAACCACGCCAACCCGGTTCAGCTCCGCGCGGCGCAGCTGCTTTTGGCAGGGGGGGGGTCCGGAAAGGTTTCGGGCTCGAAACCCCCCAGCTGATGAAATGAGCCGGGGGCAAAAGGTGTGTGACAGTGGACGGATGCGGGTGGGACGTGCGTGTGCGGGTGTGGCGAAAGCGGGCGTAAGGAAACCATCCAGTTTCGTAAGGAATTGTTTTCGCCTGAGCTGCGCGCAAGCACAAGGCACCTTTCTTCAAGCTCTTCAACTCGCTTCCGGCCGAATACCCCGCGTAGCTTGTCACATCCGGCAAGAGCGGTCGCGGCATCAATCTCGCAAGTGGACTCAAACTAAAAACATGTTTGTAAAGACTGCAAGTACAGCGCGCATGCACGGCCACCAATGCTGGATCTCGAGGGCTGTTTGCACGGTGTTGAGAATTTCCCCTGGATGCCACGGTGCTCTATGACGTCCCAATGCGGTTCTGGGAGGCGATTTTGCGCCTGTGGGCTTCCCCGTGGGCTCCAAAGGAACCTAGCTGCCCTGACGCTTTGCTCTTCTGGCATCCAGTCTTGTCTGCAGAGGCTTCAAGTAACGATTTTTCCTCCTATCCAAGGGTCCAAGATGAATGAAGGGTCCAAACCCACAGTGATTCGTTGCCAACGGCAACAGACTAAAGGCGTTCAACCGATTCCCACTTCGTCTTTCCGTTTTCCTTCTCTGTCGGAAATAAAGACCCCGGGCCGCGGGAGCTGGCTGTGCGGGTGGGACCCGTTCTCAAATTACTCTCTGGGACGGGAGAGGGCCTTGAACCTTTAACCCACGATTTGGAGGGAAGATGAAAAGTAATAATTTGAAGGGTTCTGAATCCGGGCCCATGCAACCACCACCAAGGTGAACATCACTTGGGCAGCCGTTCACGAAGCCGGTAGCCACGCAGCCGCCTTCGATTCTTCGCGCGCAGTAGCACTATTCATTGAATTGCCTGGAGAGGAGAAGCGGCACGGTCCATCTTGTGTCCCAATAAAAGTTCGTTAAGAACTCCCCCCCCCCCATTTTCGTACTGTCGAGTTTGTGTGCCCAATTTAATCTTTTCCTTAGATGACAGTACATGGGGGGAGGGGGGTTGAGGGCACCAATTTGGTGGTTTCAACACCACTTGCGGGGGTTTCTGATTCCTAGTCTAAGTCAACGTGCAATAGCCCGTGTTTCAAATCAAAAGTGCAAAAAACAGGGATGATTTACTTCTACTTTATTTCAGACAACCATCTCGCACACAGGTTTTAAAAGGAGGCCCCCCCCCCCAATCACGTGCGCACCGATTGGGGGGTACAGCGAGATATTGGCCCATGGCTTTCAACAACGGATCTCGTACAAATACCGCTTCAGAGCCGCGGTTTCTCTCCCACGAGTGCGCCTCCTCCTTCATGAAACCGCAACGCCGGCTCAGTAGATGGAGAGTAAGATATGAGATGCCAAGCAGGCGCCTGCGGGGTCTCCGGGTCCATTGTTGCGAGACACGTCAACCTGGAGTCGGGTCTTTGTAGCTATACGGCTACGGGGCGTTCCGTTCAAGAGATTTCGAGATACCCAGCGTCATTGTACACTTGTCTGATCGATTCTGACAACAAAACTGGTGAGTGACACAATTAATCTGTAAAAAACGACTCTGTTTAGCCGAAAACCTGTCATTCCCCCATTTGGATTGTTATTGGCCGTTTTGCGAGGGATTCTGGTAAAGTCCAGGACGCCGTTTTGCGAAGGGTTCTCTCAAAAACCAGGACGCCGGTTTGCGAAGGGTTCTCTCAAAAACTAGGACGCCGGTTTGCGAAATATTCTTTCAAAATCCGAAACACCGTTTTGCGAAGGATTTTTCCGAAATCCGAAACGCCGGTTTGCGAAGAATTCTTTCAAAATCCGAACCGCCGTTTTGCGATGGATTCTTTCAAAATCCGAACCGCCGTTTTGCGAAGGACTTTTCTGAAATCCGAAACGACGGTTTGCGAAGGATTCTTCCGAAATCCAAACCGCCGTTTTGCGATGGATTTTTCCGAAATCCGAAACGCCGGTTTGCGAAGGATTCTTTCAAAATCCGAACCGCCGTTTTGCGATGGATTTTTCCGAAATCCGAACCGTCGGTTTGCGAAGGATTCTTTCAAAATCCGAACCGCCGTTTTGCGAAGGATTCTTTCAAAATCCAGCAAGCTGTTTTGCGAAGGATTTGTCCAAAATACAAAATGCCGTTTTGCGATGAATTCTGGTGGGATTCTTCTCAAAATCATGCTGCAGCCTAAGAGTTTAGAACCGAGGCTTCAGTCCTGGGAAGGTACTTTGCAAGACAACGAGCCCACTCTGCAAAAGTGCTAGTCTTCTCAAATCTGAGGTCGGGGATGTTGAGAATTCTTCGCAATTTTTGTGTTTCTTGCCCCAAAATCAAGTTCGGGATTTGCGATGAAACCTGGTGGGAATCATCGCAAAGTCCAGGCTTCGTCCAGGGCCACTGTTGCCACTTTTGAGGCTTCCAGTTTCGGAGGGCTGGCAATACAAGAGATTTTGCGATGATTCCCACCAGGTTTCATCGCAAATCCCGAACTTGATTTTGGGGCAAGAAACACAAAAATTGCGAAGAATTCTCAACATCCCCGACCTCAGATTTGAGAAGACTAGCACTTTTGCAGAGTGGGCTCGTTGTCTTGCAAAGTACCTTCCCAGGACTGAAGCCTCGGTTCTAAACTCTTAGGCTGCAGCATGATTTTGAGAAGAATCCCACCAGAATTCATCGCAAAACGGCATTTTGTATTTTGGACAAATCCTTCGCAAAACAGCTTGCTGGATTTTGAAAGAATCCTTCGCAAAACGGCGGTTCGGATTTTGAAAGAATCCTTCGCAAACAGACGGTTCGGATTTCGGAAAAATCCATCGCAAAACGGCGGTTCGGATTTTGAAAGAATCCTTCGCAAACCGGCGTTTCGGATTTCGGAAAAATCCATCGCAAAACGGCGGTTTGGATTTCGGACGAATCCTTCGCAGACCGTCGTTTCGGATTTCAGAAAAGTCCTTCGCAAAACGGCGGTTCGGATTTTGAAAGAATCCATCGCAAAACGGCGGTTCGGATTTTGAAAGAATCCTTCGCAAAACGGCGTCCTGGACTTTACCAGAATCCCTCGCAAAACGGCCAAAAACAATCCAAATGTGGGAATGACAGGTTTTCGGCTAAACAGAGTCGATCTTTTAAAGATTAATTGTGTCACTCACCAGTTTTGGAAGATCGAATTCTCAAGAAGTGGTTGTTGTCAGAAACGATCAAACAAGTGTACAATGACGCTGGGCATCTCGAACGGAACGCCCCGTAGCCGTATAGCTACAAAGACCGGCCTTCATGGGCCCGCGGGCTCTATGTTGTTTTGCCGCCATGTGCGGGGCCGGTCCAGGTTGACATGTTTCCCGCAACAATGGACCCGGAGACCCCGCAGGCGCCTGCTTGGCATCTCATATCTTACTCTCCATCTACTGAGCCGGCGTTGCGGTGTCATTGTCATGAAGGAAGCGCACTCGTGGGAGAGGAACCGCGGCTCTGAAGCGGTATGTGTACGAGATCCGTTGTTGAAAGCCATGGGCCCATATCTCGCTGTCCGTTAAAACCTGTGTGCGAGATGGTTGTCTGAAATAAAGTAGAAGTACAACATCCCTGTTTTTTGCACTTGATTTTAAACACGGGCTATTGCACGTTGACTTAGACTAGGAATCAGAAACCCCCGCAAGGGTGGTGTTAAAACCACCAAATTGGTGCCCTCAAACCCCCCCCATGTACTGTCTAAGGAAAAGATGAAATTGGGCACACAAACTCGACAGTACGAAAATGGGGGGGGGGTTCTTAACGATTTTTTCTGGGGACACAAGATGGACCGTGCCGCTTCTCCTCTCCGGGCAATTCAATGAATAGTGCTACTGCACGCGAAGAATCGAAGGCGGCTGCGTGGCTACCGGCTTCGTGAACGGCTGCCCAAATGAGGTTCACCTTGGTGGTGGTTGCATGGGCCCAGATTCAGAACCCTTCAAATTATTACTTTTCATCTTCCCTCCAAATCGTGGGTTAAAGGTTCAAGGCCCGCTCCCGTCCCAGAGAGTAATTTTGAGAACGGGTCCCTCTAAATGTAACTACTAGGGGCGGCTTATGCACCCCGCACAGCAAACCCGCACAGCCAGCGCCCGTGGCCCGGGGTCTTTATTTCCGACAGAGAAGGAAAACGGAAAGACGAAGTGGGAATCGGTTGAACGCCTTTAGTCTGTTGCCGTTGGCAACGAATCACTGTGGGTTTGGACCCTTCATTCATCTTGGACCCTTGGATAGGAGGAAAAATCGTTAAGTGACTTATGAAATGTTGACCTAAAATCCGGCGCTGACGCTGGATTTCGGTTTCCACCTTGCTTTTCCTATAGTTTACGTTGGTGCATGACAAGGATTGCCATCCTGTCTGCTTGAGATTTGACATGGGCTGCCCCTCTTTTGAGCCGCAGAGACACGTTTGAATTGCAGGGACTTTTCTGACATCCAGCCTTGTATGCGGAAGCCTGGAATGATTTGAAAGATGTGGCCTTAAATCTGGCTCTTGGTTTGTCCTTGCCCCTTTGGCTTTTGTTGGTTGACGATGGCTCATGACAGAGACATGACATTTTGGGGGGGCCCCACGCCTTCAAGCTGCGGAGACATCTGCAAATACTGAATGCCATTCTTTGAGCTCCAACTGCGAGGATGCAGCAAAGAATGATACACTGAGTTGGAGAATTCCAACGCAAATCACACGGACTCAACGTGTCCCACCTGGTACGACATGGCTTGAGAGCCAGACTCTGGTCGTGGAAAGTCCATGAGTGTTGCTAGGATTTCCGATGGCATACACATTGGGGAAGTGGCTGAATCCACAGCAAGCAAATGGTTCCTTTGAACATAGAAGCAAAACCCTCGCTGATATGCGCCACAGTAAAAACACGCTGCTACCGCTCAACGGACATGAGTCAACTCAGTATCAAATTCCTGCAGTTTGCTTGGACCGTCAGCCAGTCCTCCATGTCCCTTCCAAGTTGATAGACAAATCTGTATATTCAACACGACCGCCGCTCAGTCGCTCGGAGCTGCTTTCTCAACAGTTCTTAACATCATTCTCTTGCCGAGGCGCGCAGGATGCCAAAGAGGGAATCCCACTTGCATCCATGGAAGAGCAGAACCTGGAAATCGTACAGCCATCAGGCGAGCAGGGAGGAATCCACTGTCCAAGCCTACGCCTGAGCAATAAACCCCCACATCATTGAATCATTGACCATATCCTGAGCCATGCTTCACAGGAGCCCAAGTGAAGGAATGAATGATTCTTGTTGGGCCTAGTGGTGGACTTTTCCATGCGTTTTGTCCCCACCAACCATGAGTTCGATCTGAGCACTCCTGCACAACAAGATACAAACCCCCAAACCCAAACCCAATGCGAAAAAAGAGCCGTTTTTCATTATTTAGGGCTGACGACTGACGCGTCCCTTATCTGCTGCCAGAAGGACAACAGGAATTGTAGAGGGCTGTAGAGCGCCGACCAACATGAGGCCTTCGGGTTCGTAGCGGGTTCCAGCAATGTTGTTTTAAGCTCCAGAAGGTACGGCCTCGTTCATGCGGCTCTGGTCCCAGGCGGTGCGGATGGGGATGGCGCGGTGCAGCTCCGGCACTGGCTGCCGGTCCGTGCCCCAGACCTGAAGCAAACCGAGGCTTTGAAACCTCAAAAGGAAAAGATCAATTTCAGATGACACCAACAAATGCGACAGCTAAAGGTAAACCAAAGGTGGCCTTTTTCATGGTTGGTGAATGTGGAAACCAAGGACCTTTTTTGGGGGGTGTTGTAAAGGGGGCAAGCATGAAATCGACGATTTTGGGGTAAGAACGAACCATACCCTTCGGACCTTTAGGTACAGTGGATGCCAACAATGCAAAACCAGCAGGAACCAGCTGGGAGCCGTGTGATGCAATTTAAGAAATCCACTACGGCCGGGTACAGGGTGGCAATCCAGGATTGGCAAATCTCAAGTTGGTTGCCAGGGGCAGTTTCGAGGGAGTCCTTATCCTTTTTGGAGGAAGAGGAGGAACCCCCATTGATCCGAAAGGTGCATGGAACCGGACTCAACATGAGCACGGGAACTTGTGGTTTCCCTTTGAGTCCTGGTTTCCTTCCAAACCTTCCCCTTTCGCGGCCGCATTTTGACATACGGCCATTTGTCGAACGGAACGAAACGTGATTCACCGACCCAGTCTTGACACAGGGGGAATGCATCACAAGAAATCTGACCGCATCGGTGGATCAATCATGCAAATCGGCATCCTGTTGAAATCATCCAAACAAAACAGGAGACGCCGATGTTGATACACACACGCACACAAAGCAAACACGTGATTCGGTCATGGGCTGGTGCTTTCCTCTAGTTGAAGTTGAGCGGCATGTCATCTCAATCTACCGGGCCAACAAAGGAGGCACGGTCACATCGATGTTAAGCGGTTTGCCTGTGTTTGTTGGATGCGCAAGCCGGATTTGTTGACCAAAGCGAGTCGACCTGTTTGTTTCTATTCGGGCTTTCCATTGCACACCATTTTCGGGTCACGGTGTCAAAGCACAAACTCCAACTTCTAAGATGGCCGTGGAGAGGGAGCTTGTCCAGAGAGATCGCACGCAGAGATTGCCTCACCCGAAGACCTGTCCCAGAAGACAAGCCTTCATACAAACACTACTTTTTGAGACAGAGCGTCAGTTTGCAGTGCTGCCAATGGAAATGCAGGGTGCCATGGAAACTTGGAGCTATTTTGCATCACCAGACACTAAACTGCATGAAGGGGTGGTCGCAAATGGACTCTCTGGGAAGTTTAGCCTTTTCAACGGGGGGAACCTGAATGGGTGGCTATGCAAGACGAGCGTAGGTTTTTGGCACTCCTGACAGGCGTTTGGTTCCCCCAACTTTCGGAGCGTCTGCCAACATTGGACCCAAAGTTGGCAGGTCATCTCGAGGCCCAAAGCCTCCCGGCCTCCGTCATTTGGTTGAGCTGCTGGTAAAAGGCCTGGGCTACCCGCCGACCTTTTTGACACCTCCCGCGCCGACACGTGACCTCTGCTCCCACCAACAGGTGTTTTTGTTTTCTAGCCATTGCTGGAAACACTGGTATATACACATATATGTATATATACATGTTTGTGTGGACGGTACCCTAGATAGGTGTATTTCTATGTGTATATATATATATATGTGCACTGTACATTCATTGATTGAAACAACAGCCCAGTTCAGGCCATGACGCTTCTCAGACCAGACCCTTCTGGTTGCTAAATCCTGCAGCTCACCTAAAACTTAGCACCGTCTGGGGAAACGCGGGTCGCTTTTTCGGGAACATGTGTTCACCGATCTTCCCAAATTCACCATGGACATTTTGATGCTAGCTGAATTAATCCTTGCAAGCAGAAGATGCGAGTCACTTTTGCGTGTTCAACGTGCCTTTCACACTAGAAGCGAGAGAGAGCCCCCTAACGAGAGGTCTAGGAGATTCAAAGCTCAATTGCTCATCTGGTTCATTAGTCCAGCTCCAAGTGTCCATGTGCCGTTGGCAGCAACAAAAACGGCTCTTATTGTTCGGTCAACGCGTCAAACCAAGCCAAATCGAGCCAAGCGGATTTCCGACGTCCGGGGCGCGTTGTTCACAATGGGGTTGAAGACCTCCGACACCCGGATGATCTCGATCTGCGGAGGCGAGCACCACTCCTCCGAGTCGTAGGTCTTCCCTAGCGGCAAAACCAATCGGCAAGCCACCCATGTGGATCCCCCACAGGTTCAGCACTTGGGGTACGGTGACCCACGCGCAGGAAACGGCACAAACAGAGCAGGCTGAAAAACTTGTCAGGGCAAACGGTCAGATGACGTGAACCACGTACGGAAAGCGGCTCAAAAAGAAAGATCAGGGCGAACGTTTGAATCTGACATAGGTCCGCTGAAATTCAGCTGTTGGTTGCTTCCCACTTTTCACCATCTTGTTCAAAAGAAACTTTGTGTTTACACAGAAAATGCAACAACTAAAAAGGCAAGCTATCCCTTTGTACCGAGACATGGCACTATTGACCTTGCCCAGGGACTTTCCAAAATGCAACTGCGCGATCTGAGTCGATTTTCGGTCGACCCTCAAACATGCAGTTCATCCCCATATGCGGTAAGGGAACGAGGATTCTGACAACCTCTGTTTGAGACGAAAAGCGACAATCAACAGATGCTGTGCGCACAATGACATGGGGAAGTCATGTGACCCCGCTCATTTTGGTGGGAAAGTCAGTGTCCCCCCGCGTCCCTCCCAAATCAACCCTACGCTGATATATGGTTTTTTTTGACCAAACCACGCATCGTTTCTTGCCCAATAGCTCTCAAAGGGTTACCCTGCGGCCGAAACTGAACCTACCCCCAACCAAAGCAGCTAGTACATTCTCGAACAACCCAAAACGAGAGCTCCGGAATTGTGCTGTAGCCTCACAAGCTTGGCCAAGAGGGATCAACTCGACATTTAGGGAACCCATACATTTTTCCATGCAACTGGTCTAAAACAGTAAACCCTGGTGAGCCACAATAAGATCTGCATCAAGGCTTGGGGGAAAGACAACACGAGCCTCACCCTCAAGGGTCGAACATCTTCAAGCAACTTGAGGTTGAGGAAACACCAAAGGGTCACCAGAAACTGCGAACCCCTTGCTGGTCGGTGTAAAAAAAAGGACGCTTAAAGGAAACAATCTTCCGGCTCATGGGTCTATTTTCAGAAGCACTCCCAGAATGCACAGGTCAAGGGATTACAACTCGATAAGGAACAATGACAGTTCAGTACGGAATAGAGACCTGGACTCCGAACTTGGAAGACGACTTTCAGAAAAAAAGGGGTGCCTGTGCACAAATTGCGGCCGCCCCCTCAAACCCGCCCCTCATTTGAGCCTCGTCTTTTGGCCTTGTCTCAGGCTGAAACCATTTTTGACGGGGCGCGGTGAGACATCAATGAGCCCTGGATGTACTCCTCCAGCCACTGCCGCCGCGGGTCGCTCGGGGCCTCAAAGCTTCGAACGTCACTTCGGCATTCCGACAAATATTTTAATGCACATTGACTTCGAACCGAACTTAATTCAAGTCGTCTCAAGAGTTGAAAACCCCCAAAATGACAGGCTTCTCCTTGGCTTCCTCAATAGTCAACCCCAAAACCGTGCAACTTCCGTGTCTCCCAAAACCTCAGCGGATCGGCCATCCTCATCCGTCCCTTGATCTCCCACTCGATCCCTTCCCGCTCCCTTCCTCCTTTCCTCCCTTCACAGTCTTTCAGGCGGGTTGCCGCTACCATTTTCATAACTCTTAGGTTGAAGAATGGACTGTACTCTGCAGGTGCCTCATCACTCTTGCCACCATCCTGCTCCGACATGGGCTGCTTCTTGGAAATGCGCTTGGGCGTACCCCGACGTGTGGCGTCCTCCCTCCCCTCCCTCCCTCCCTCCCCTCCCTCCCCTCCCTCCCCTCCCTCCCCCTCCCTCCCCCTCCCTCCCCCCCCCCTCCCCTCCCTCCCCTCCCTCCCCTCCCTCCCTCCCTCCCCTCCTCCCCTCCCTCCCCCCCTCCCTCCCCCTCCCCTCCCCCTCCCCCCCTCCCTCCCCCTCCCCCTCCCTCCCCTCCCTCCCTCCCCTCCCTCCCCTCCCTCCCTCTCCCCTCCCTCCCCTCCCTCCCCTCCCTCCCCTCCCTCCCTCCCTCCCTCCCCTCCCTCCCTCCCTCCCTCCCTCCCTCCCCTCCCTCCTCCTCCCTCCCTCCCCTCCCTCCCCTCCCTCCCCTCCCTCCCTCCCTCCCTCCCCTCCCTCCCTCCCTCCCCTCCCTCCCTCCCTCCCTCCCTCCCTCCCTCCCTCCCTCCCTCCCTCCCTCCCTCCCTCCCTCCCTCCCTCCCTCCCTCCCTCCCTCCCCTCCCTCCCTCCCTCCCTCCCCTCCCCTCCCTCCCCTCCCCTCCCCTCCCCTCCCTCCCCTCCCCCTCCCTCCCTCCCTCCCCTCCCCTCCCTCCCCCTCCCTCCCTCCCTCCCTCCCTCCCTCCCTCCCTCCCTCCCTCCCTCCCTCCCTCCCCTCCCTCCCTCCCTCCCTCCCTCCCTCCCTCCCTCCCTCCCTCCCTCCCTCCCCCCTCTGGCCACTTCAAACGAGGACTAGCGCTGCGTTCCCCGTAGAATCCGAACGGCGCATTTGTTCTTCAATTTTAGTGACTCTGGTCCTTCCCCCCATCCCACCCCTGAGGCGCACGGCCAGAAGCTGTCGGTCCTTGCAAAGTGGGCAGGCTTGCTTCATTGAGGGTCAGAATCACGTCCCACATGGCGCAATTTCAGTTGGAAGGCCTTTGAATTGCCAAAACTGCAATGGTTGATCATTCCAAAAATGGTCAAAGTGCATCCACTTTTTCAGAAGGGTGTACCCGGAAAGCAATGAGCAACATTACGATCGGGATCCAGCCACGACACACATGAGTCCGAATAAAAAAAAAAGGGGGGAACCAAACAGGGGTTGTCAATTTGTCCCAACAACATACCCAACAAACACTATCTTTGATCTTTCGTCCCCTGCGTCCCGGGGTTCAAGAATATGTTTCGTCTAAGCCTGCAACATGGCCCTTCCTGCGCCACCGGCAGGTTAAGTATTGCCACTGGGATGGTTGTTCCCGCAGTATGCAGGTTCACACGGATGTGGACAATAGTCAAACAAGCTATTTGGGTCGGGGCTGAGGTAGATGATGCGAGCTGCCCGTTTCTTTTTGTTCACTGAAATTCAATTCAAGGATCCACGGACATCCGATCAACCTCACAGGAGCTCATTTGACCATGGTGCTGGTCTCGCGGAATGGGCTGACTGAAGCAGCCGGAAGCAAACCCTGAGAACCGACCAGCTGCCACACCCAGACGGAGGCTTACCATTTCCAGGAGCAACGAATAGATGTCTCCAGATAACAAGGAGACGTCTCCATTTAACACAAAACCACTGGCAAACCAGTTGTCTCCAGCCGCTTCTTGCGCGGAAGACGACTTCCGAGGCATCGGCGTAGGTCTTCTCGGGTGGGAGGATCCGGTTCTGCAAGGGGAAGACCCACTCGGCCACGGACCTGGCGAGGAGCCACTCCCCCAGAGCCCCGGGGCCTCATGGCCCCAGGCCCAAGGGCAACTTGTTGAAAGTGAAAAGTTAAGCTGAATCAAACAGTACCAACAGCTCGGTTCGGAGCAATAAAGGACCGATTTGAGCATGGCACACACATAATATATACATATATATATATATACATATATGTATAAATAAATGTGGGCAAATATCAAAATAATTCCCACTGCGGAAATAAGGGGCTCCCTAGTAACATTCATGGTTGAGCTCGTTCTTACTACGGATCGATGAGCTCGTCATGGTCATGTGCAAGCCATTTGAACATTAAACGCAGTTAGTGTTGAATAAGACTTGTGGCTTCATAACAAAACCCAACAGGGAAAGCAGAAAGCCACGCCAACCCTATAGGAGGATAGGTTTGGAGGGAACCTTCCTGTATAGTTGTGAAGGTCTGAAAACTTTTCTGGCGGGTAGCCATAGCTTTCCCTTCGTTGGTCATGGAGAGAAGAAAGGGCTTGCGTCAGGGGTCTGTCAATTTTTAGACAATGTTCTGGACGCAAAAAGTCAATTGGAACCCACCAGTGAATTAATCAAGGCTCGATTCCGGGGGAGAAAACAAAGGAAAAACAAAACTGAGAAAAGGAAACAAAAAACAATTAAAAAAACAAAAAACTGCAAATGCAACACAACTCGAAGTTGTCTATTTCATCGGATCTGATTTCAAGAAGTGATGAACTTAGCGGAGCCGTTGACCTGGTTGATTTGCAGATCTAGATCTGGGGGGTCACCTATGGATCCCACCGGTTCATTCCGGAAACGTTAAAGACAAGCGGTTCCAGGTATCACGCTGTCATGGTCCTGCCTTCAAGAACCCCAGAGGGGTCGAAAGCCAACTTTTTGGTACGAAAGACCTGGCGCCTTTGCCAAAGACTGCAGGACATGGCCGCCAGTTTGGCCGATTCCACTCTGCTGCTCTCTCCCCGACCTCAAGGAGTTGGGGCTGCTGCAATAGATCAAAGAGGCGTGCGAGGCCGCAGATTCAAAGCCTCAGCTCTCGGACATTGGACCAGGTACCTCTGAAGATCCCATGTTTCTGGCTGGGGTAAATCTGGTGCCGTGCTTTGGGCAAGATTGCCTTGCCGATTCTTCAATTCCCCAGCCCAAAAGCATTATCTTTGTCCTTTCCTCAAAAGCATGCCGAAGGCTTCTTTCAGCAAGGCCTGAAAGATTGCCGGGAGAGATGTTGCGGGCGCTTGTGCAAAGATTGTACAGAGATTGCGCGGAAGAAAGATCGCTAAAAAAAATCCAACAAAATCCTTTCTAAACGGAAATAATGCGCCGGTGCCTCGAATTGCCCAGCATAGGAGAGAGTGCGCTCCTCTTGCAGATTCAGAAGACGATGCGCGACCCTCTGCGTAGATTGCGCGTCTTTGAGCAACAAAACACCGGCAAAAAGATGACTTCTGTACCTGCAACGCGAACCCGATAATTCACCAACCGAAAGCAAAGGATGCCCAAGAGAGGACCTTGATGTGGGCCCAAATTGGTCACAAACGGAACCCGTTTGCTGAAACCACAATATTGATTGCTCGAACCAATTGGGTTAGATCACTGGGGGACAATTCTTGCGCGCCTGGGCCGGGTGCTACCTTAGCTTTAGTCACGCTTTCAGATTCTGGCAGCCATGGCTTTGATGAACCTGTCATCGTTTCATTTGACACTCCAACTTCGGGACCCCGGTGCCGAGTCCCTGCAACTTTTTGAACACTGCCATTTCGCCCGGCTTGAGCGAGGGACTGAGGCAGGAGTTCACGATGGTGCCAGAAGCCATGGAGTTCCCCGTGGTCGGGCGATCGTTCGGCGCGTTCGCCGCGTTCGGCACCTGGGTGCAGCAGGCTGAGTTGTCTTCGAATAGACGTGCCCCTCAATCAAGGTTGATCTCAAATGCAGTTCTCCCTGTTGAAGCGGCATCCAAACTGACGGCTTTGAGGTGCTGATGCAGAATACCCTCTTAAATGGTTGGTCAACATAGATCGTCATGTAAAAGGCGTCCATCTACAGATTTCAAAGTTCATACCCTGTTGACGTTCAAACGATGGACTGGTGGTGCTGTGGGTCGAGCCAAGGTCGATCGGAAGGTATGCAGTCAATCACCAGCGCGTGATGACTTCTACACCCCCACATCACTCTGAACAAGACCAAGCATTGGAGCGGCCAACAGTTCGAGCATGGGACAGTGGATGCAAGAATCCAAAAACAAGTCGCCGCAATACAACGCCCTACATCTGCTCTGCCGAAGGGAAGGATTCAACGGTAAACTAAGGCGATCGCTTGAGGTTTCTTGGATTTTACTGCTTGAATGAACACCAGCATCCAGCCAAGTGGCTGATGTCCTTGCTGCGACACCTAAACTGGGCGACTGCAGTGCCGTCTCACCGCCAATTTCTCCTGTGGCCACATGTGGCCACTGGACACCGGCGGATAATGTGGGCCCTGTCGTCCCTCTGTTCATTATTTGTGTGCCTATTTCCTGCCTTCTGGCAGTCTGAGTCCGAGGCCTGGGCTGAGAGACTTCGCCACACCACGAATCTTCCAAAGCCCCGAAACCAGGGCCTATGTACCCTTTGATTCGTTCACTTCCCCCCCTTCCCCCCCCTCCCGGTCTTGGGGTAGAAAAACAAAATCGCCCCAAACCCAATGGATGGAGCGGACGTCGGCGGAATGCGAAAAAATATCCCACCACATGTTTCGCCCAGGCGCCGCCAGCGTGGTGCTCTCCGCCCAGCCCACTTTTCGGGACTGGCGCGAGGAATATCTGGGGAGCCCATTTTTTGGGCGGAGCGTTGCGCAAAAAAAGAAAAGAGAAAAGACACGCACCAGAGAATCCCCCCCCCCAAAAAAAAAAAAAAAAAATCCCAAAATGGTGATTGCTTTTTGTTTTTTCATGTGTGCATAGAACTCGCAGAAATGCACGCATCGAAAGTGGGCTTGATAGTTGTGGTACATGCATATACGCGGGTATATATGTATAGTTTACATACTCTGCATATACAATATGTGTATAATATGTATGTATATATATATATATATATATTGGGAATATATATATATATATATATATTAATATATATATATATATATATATCGATACATATACGTAGGTGATACATATTCAGAAGCATGTTTGCACTACTCTGAGCGACTTGACTTGGATTTGCTGCAGTTGTCCTAATCTTGGACAAGCTGGCCGTTCTTTCCAAGAAGTCCTTATTACTAACTCATGTTGCCTTCATTTGGGTTCGGCTTTGTCTTGTTTGCGTGCTTTGTGGAGGCAACTTACAGTTCGATCTGGGCATGTCTGTAAAATTAGGGACCCTTTGGATGTCGTTTACCTGGGGTTTCATAATCTGGGGAATATTCGGATTCCAAGCAAAACGAAACACCAACGGCCGGCCCGGCAACGGTGGCCGGACGGGCCTCGCTGTCGCGGCGGGCCAGCTGCCGCTCTAAGGCCTGGCACCTGACAGACCAAATCCTGCAAAACCAAAGAGTGGGCCGGGGGCGGGGGGTGGGCAAAAAGGAAACCAACCTGTTTTTTCTGTTCGTTGCTTTTCTTGGTCTTCCTTTTTTTTTGAGGGGGGGAGACATGAGACGAGCTCATTTGGTGCTTGTCTTGTTCAAAAAGGCTTTTCCTAAGGACATCCCACTTGACGCAATGGGATTCCACAAAGGGTATCACAGAAGTGGCAACCTGGACCAACTTCCCATGACCAGGTCTTCGGCATTGACTTGGCGTTGGCTGAGACATTTGCTCGGGATCTCAAGAAATATCTCCAGTGCAATCGAGCAGGCTTCGGCAGACTGAAGGACGACATCCCGGCAAAACAGTGCTACTCGGACTCGGGGGACGGTACATTGATCCTTGCGCACACGGACATCACAGCAGCGTCAACAACTTCCATGGGTTGTAAAGCAACTAATTGCTCAAGTGCTGAGTTTATCGAAGCCGCTGTAGGAAGATCCCCTTGTCCGAACCTTTGGGAAAAAGCCCGGCAAGGGGGCAAGTGGATCTGGTATTCCAGCTCAGAAGTGTCCCTGAAACAGCAAAGCCATACAAAGCTTTGGAAGGCGCCGTCTCGATTCTCGGAAGCAAACCTTTGGTGGCACACAGACCGCCTTTCCGCTGCGCTTGTGGTTCTGGCTAAGTGCCCAAAAAACAACAAGTTTGTTGCGGCGGTCCCTCCAGGGCCGTTCCCCAAAGGCTATACATGGTATACAGGTCCCCTTCAGACGAAACCTTTCCGTTTGGAAACTTGCCTGGCAAGCATCAAGCAAGCAGGGAATAAGTGTGGGCGCCCTGTGACTTTGACACGTTGACCAGAGTTCTGTGGTTGGACGCGATTGGTTAACCTGCTTTATATCTATCTGCACCAGACGCTGCAGGGCAGGGCGTGAGGACGGAGGGCACAGTGCCAGGTTTGCAGCACACCTGGAGCCTACGGACAGTGTCCCAGAGTTCCAGCGGCGAAGTTTGACGGTGCGAAATGTTTTCTGGAACTTCCGAGCCGCTTTTGAGTTGCTGTATGTCGACTAGGATTATATACTATACACCTCTTGCTGGTTCGTAGAGCGCGTCTTGTACAAGGGGCTTCTTCACTGTGTTGTGAAACACCCCCCAAACAACGAGGTTCGGGGTTGGAAAAAACAGGGTGCCCCCGTTCAATTCATCAAAGAGCGCACATTCTAAAGGGAATCATATGAGTTTTTCGGTAAAGGCAGGGGGATGACTGGCTCCTTAGATATTGCAATTCGGGAAGGGCTCTCCTGGATCGAGGTTCTCTGGTAGGTTAACAGGAGCCGTGGGTGGAATGTGTGCATCCAAAAAAACGACGCATTCAGCCTTTTGTAAGGGAGGCAAACTTGACCCTCTTTGAAAGCATGATTTTAGAAAGAAATCACCATGATTGCCAATTCAACTGGTTTGAAACACGCCCGCTGTGGAACCCCTGTAAAAAATGATACTTGTAGCTAGTGAGTGTGAAAAGAGCCACTTTCCAAATGCTTGCGGTAAGAAGCTTTTTCGGGCAAACCAACTAGCGAGTAAGACGCCTTCTTTCATATGAGAACCGTTCTGTTCATGGCTTAGGGAACATGGGAACATTCGAAATCCCATTCTCAGTTACCCAAAGGACCAGAAAACAAAAAGCTAACCATTTGGAACCTAAACTAAATATGAATCAAAACAGGGAAACCAAAAGGTCAAAGTCGGCCTTGGGCAAGGTTGAGGGATTCCCTTCCAAGCCAACCCAAAAAAGGTCCCAAAAAGACAAACTTCCTTGGCCAACTGAGGACCCTTCTACCCCCAAAAGCAAGTCACAACTTGAAGGACCCCTCAAAACGCATGGCGTCCTCTTCTCTGAGCCAGCTTCAAAAGCCTTCCACAAAAAAATCACAGCCCAAAAATCCGCCGACCCTCTGCCTCCCGTCCCAGCCTCCTGCAGAGGGGACCGGCGTGGGATGCAACTGGAAGTGATTGGAATCAATGATAGTCCCTGGGGGACACGCCCGAACCCACAAAAAGTGGATTCCCAGGACCGGTCCCGGGACCGGTCCTGGGACCAGTCCTGGGACCAGTCCTGGGACCAGTCCTGGGACTGGTCCTGGGAGCCTGGTTCTGCTGTTTTGGATTACTTGTAGTCTGGTCCCAGGACCAGTCCTGGGACCAGTCCTGGGACCAGTCGGGACCGGTCCTAGGACCAGCGGTTTGGTCCTGGGACCGGTCCTGGGACTGGTCCTGGGACCGGTCCCAGGACCAGTCCTGGGACCGGTCTGGGAAGCCGGTCCGGGATTGAGTCCTGGTGTGACCGCTGGTCTTGGGTCCCAATTCAATATGCTGTGCTGCCTCAAACCGCTCCAGACACCTTTCCCGACTGGCACCCATGACCCTGCGACCAAGCCGGCCCGTGCGGTTGTTGACGTCCTTGTGGTAGTAGAGGATCCCATCTATTCTGCAAGAGAGTCCAATACGTCAAGTCAAACCGCGCCAGACTGGGACCAGCCTGGACAGGGTCCCAAGTCCCGGTCCCTGCCGGCGACCGGTCCAGGGCAACTTCGGGAGGGCCAGTTTCAGGGCGACCCCGGGAGAGGCGACTGCTCCCGGCCAACTCGAAGTGACTTGGGCGCAAGCCGGCCCAAGCGGTAATTAACGGACTAGCTGCCCTATTTCTGACTTTTCCGTTAATCCTTGTTTCTGGTCAACTTCGGGAGGGCCAGTTTCAGGGCGACCCCGGGAGAGGCGACTGCTCCCGGGCCACCTCGAAGTGACTTGGGCGCAAGCCGGCCCAAGCGGTAATTAACGGACTAGCTGCCCTATTTCTGACTTTTCCGTTAATCCTTGTTTGTGGTCGTAGAGGATCTTATAAGTGGTCCCTGGGTTTGCGGACGTGTTTCAGGACCGGTCCTTGTGACTTTTCCCTTAATGCGCCGAGGGTCGGCGGCAGCAGGCGGGAGCCTGGTTAATAAAACCCAAAAACTCTTTGCTCATGGCTTGCATCTTTTCCAACCGGCTCCCGTCGGCTCTCCCGTCCACACGACCCCTGCGCCTGGCGGCGAGGGCCTCCTTCTCCTCTCGCAGCCCGCTCTGGGCCTCTAAGAGCTCCTGCAGAGGAGCACTCATTCCAAAAAACGGGAAAACAAGACATGATTAGAGTTAGGCCCAGTTATAGAATGTGTGTTCTATTGCTTGCTTCACTTTGAGCCACAAATGTAAAATGTATCCTAAGTCTACCCCAGAAAATGTGTTGGTTCGTGGGCCCATGTGGTTTGCCTCATGAAGGGAACCTCCAAGAGAGCAGGGAAAAAAGGGGATTTGGATTCAGACAATGGTGGTTTTGCTGGTGTCCCTCTGAAACAAAGCACTTTTTGGGTTTATGGCCGTGGGCTCAAATGGAAGGAACTCTTGTCGTCAAAGAGAAAGGACGCTGGACGGATGGAGATAGAAACAAAAAAACTGGGTCATCGGAGTTTGCGCGGGGTTCCTTCCCCTGGGTTAGGGAAAGGTGGATTGGATGTTGGAGCGAAAATCTCTGTGACCAACTCGCGTTTGCGAACCTGCCAAATCTGATGAGTTTCCCTGGAGTTCCTTTGAAAACCCCGGACTCCACGGACCAAACCTATGGCCCCGCATTTGAAAGTGGCATGGGATCGAACGGCCATCCGGGTGCTTGATGTTGCAAAATGGCCGGTGACTGTTCAAGGCACCCCAACCTGCACCACTCCCCAAGAAACCTGTGTATCTCTCGGAACGGTCTGGCACTTTTTGCAGTTTGCATGAACGATCAAAAAGCACTTAAAAGTCTGAAAAGGTGAAGTGCCCTTCAATAGTTCCCCTTTTTGCAAGTCGTGAAGACCTTTTTCGGATGCCCACTTCTATGAGACTGACGTTCCAAAGAAATGGTATCCAGTTCCCAGGCATCAAGGAAGTCGGAACCGCCCTCTGATTCCCCCAACCAACTTGCTCCAAAAAACGGTAGATCAACCCCCCACTTACCAAGGCTGCAGTGTCCAACTTCTCTAGACAAACCTCCCCCCCCACTGACCCACTATCGCCACCCAACCGCACCTCCCGCTCGCGCTGCTGCGCCGCCAGCTGGCTCTCCAGCTTCGCGAACCTGGCGGATCGGACATTTCTTGCGACCTGGTTGCGACTGTCCATGGACGAAATCCATTTCGCACCACCGAAGGAACCCTGAGTTGATGATTCCCCTGTAAATACCAACAAACAACAACAAACAACGGTTTCCCGTGGTTTCAAAGTGGTGCAGGATTTCGTCCATCCACAGTACGTTGGAATGTAAACCAATCCCTTAGGCCACGTTGATGGAGTGGACAGTTGGCCTGGATGTTGTGACATTTGGGGTGACAACCAGTTGCCAGTGTTACATAGACCCCCAAAGCCAATCCAAAATCTCCCCAATGTGGGATGGTAAACTATTGCTGGCTACTCTCGAGCTCCCGTTTATTGATTCGATACTCCGCACACTTTCCACCTCCAAATTGTCCCATGCGCTTGTTACCAGTTGAGTTGGTTTTCACCATGTGCCCTTGGAGTTTCTTGGGGTTGAGTGGTTAAAATGCGATGCGGCGGATTGCAAGAGGAGCTCAGAAAGCCAAATGGCCATGGGTCAAAATCTCATACCCCCAGTGAACATCCCAATCCCCACTAACATAGACTGAAATGGGTGGTGCACCTACCCCACGGCCCCCGCCCGCATGCCCCGCTCCTGGACTCCAGGCCGTCCTTCTCGGCCTGCAAAACCATCTTCTCGGCCGCCACACTTCTGGACTGCTCCATGCCCTCGCCACGACAGTCGCTGGCGTCATTGGAATACGTACGCAAATATCGTAGTTGTGCGGTTCTGGCATTCTGTCTTTAAGAGTCTTTAACCAATCCTTGGTTCATACAAACGAGGTGTGTGTGTGTGTGCATTATACATTGACATGGAAGTGATGTGTGCCCTGCACTATACATGCGAGTTCTAGTGGTTGCCCTGCTGTTGAAAACGAGTATACAGTATACATGTTCATGTTCCCTTGTTGAATTTGAGGATATCCCATAGCAGCTGAGGGGCATCCCCACATTTAAATACCGAATTTGTCGTCGTTGTGCGGGTACCATAAGACCAAAGTGGTCTGCTTGGTGAGACATGCTGGTACTATGACAGTGTGAGGCTGGATATGTCAATCAAAAGGTGGCCTTCTCGCCATTGCCCATGCCTGTTCTGGTATGTTTCGACTTTGCCCGCCGCATGGGCAACATTCTAAAACACGGCTGCTGACACCAGCCTAGAAGTTTGCCACAAATGGTCGTCGACAAAAATTTCAAATACAAACTCCCAAGGAAGGTTTGCCCAGTGAGTCAATTACGTCTATGGACAGAGGTCGGGAGTCGGGACCATTGTGTGACATTGTCTAAAGGCTCCCGAATTCGGAGACCAGGGGACCGAAGAAGACGCTTCTGGGGAGAGATCGAAGTTTGGGAGCGTTACTCAAACAGCACGTCCAACTTGGCGGCTGTGGTTTCTGTTGCACGGGCTTCTAAATTGCTCTTGGAAGATCTGACTGCATCGTACAGCTTTTTTCGGCACAAATGGGTCCAGCTTCCTGAACACCGGCACTATCATCGAGATGTTGCGCTTAGTAGCCATGCGGAGAGCGGCTTGTTTGAGGTCATTGGCCCAAACGTCCGGCCTCATCTTCTCATCTGGGCACCATCCATCCCCATTGAAAGCAACATAAGCCCCTTTTGTCTCTATTCAACTTCACATTGTTGTAGGCCGATTCTTGAGAAAACAAGTTGGAAGTATAATTTATCTTCGCTGTCTTCATGTCCTTTGTGCGGATCAGCACATTATGCGCAAACAGCTGGTGTCTCCAAGAATCACGCTTTGCACTGTGTTTCTATTGGGGTCAGCGCCGTTTCCATTCTAAACTGCCCTTCAAGAAATACAGCGGGAGATTGTTCAGGAAACAATTGTTGAGGCCAACCAGCTGTTGATTGTCAAAGCCTGCCCTGGGAATGAATACATCTGCGGTAAGCCACTTCTCTGAAAAGGGGGGCTCGGGACCGACCAAGCTTACACTGCCATCCAATGAAGGCAATTTGGCTGCCGTGATGTTGGTGTTCTCCGTGTGCATTCCGCCGAAGAAGATTGTCCAACACTGGCGGATGGGGATGCTTGTCAGTCCTCAAAATCCATCGCTCCGCTGCAACTTTGCAGATTAGAATGGGAATCCCTTAAGGATTCCTTGGACGGGCTCACGGGTTTGAACCTGTTGCTTTGACAAGAATGTGAAAAGGACCAGACAGCATCTACGTATTGATCTGTCGGGCTGTATCAATGCAATGCCTGCAAGGCAACCACAAGCAAGGCTTTTTTCGGCGGCAACATCTATGGCAAAATCTCACTCTCTGCGACAGCGCATGTAGCCGGATCCGGCCAACGCGGCCAACAGTAGCCCCCCCCGCCAACCCTCACCTGCTGCAACTGCGTCCGCAGTAGCTGGTTCTCTGTGCGGAGCTTGGCGAGTTCGCCCTGCGCTTGGCACCACTCGACACGGCAGACTGCCGACCACGCACTGTGGGATATGCCCTTTGGTGGTCGGTCGTTCGGTCGGTTGGTCGGCCGGTTGGCTTGTTTGGTTGTTTGGGTTGGCCAAGTTGGTTGGGGTGGTTGGGTTGGTTGGGGTGCTTGTTGCTGGTTTCTGGTGGGTTGGTTGCTTGGATGTTTGGCTGATTGGACTCTTGACTGCTCTTTTGTGTGGTCGGTTTCAAAGGGAAGCGGGGTGCCACACGGTTGCAGGCTCTCCTTTGCTGCTCATTTGGGGTGGTGTGCCCCTCTGAAAAAACACACCCAAATGTGGGTGATGTAGTGTAGCGTTTCGGCAATCCGCAAGTGAGAGGTGGCAAAATGAGGAACCTGAGGCATCCCAATAAGCCTTGAATCTTTGAAAGAGGCCATCCCCTGGCCCATGGACCTCCGAAGGGGAGCCATTTTCGACAGTCTGAATGTCTCCTCCGAACTTCAATCGGGCCGCTCCCTGCGTTCAACGAAAGTCGTCTGAGTCATCCAATGCTTTGGGAGATGGATACCAGTCAGTTCACCAAAATTGTCCTCACATTGCGGACCGTGAAATGTTGGCATTCAACAAACAACTGTAAAACCACAGAAAAGCAAGACTCGGAAACCGAAACCATCGCGTTCCCAAGCAACAACGAGCATTGGAATAACCTGTTCTGCGTCCTTTCGGTCCCTTGAGTACCGTCAGCTTGTTCCTGTTACTTTGTTTCCCTCCAGCTTCATGGAGGATACCTCCCTCATGGTTCATTGCAAAGTCAGCTCCACCGAGGCTTATTGACCAAACCTCGAGATTGAAAATGTTGACCAAATCTCGTACGTGCCATGAAGAACACTTTCAATAAATGTGACCTCTAACGACCCTGTACAATTGGTGTCTAAATTGCCAAACAGAGGTGCGCCACACCTCGTCCGGCTTTGAAGCTAGCTCCTGCGCGCTTCGCTCAAACAGGTCACTCCGCCCTGAGACCCTGGAAGGGTGGGTCATCTTCCCCTTACGGCATCAATGCTCAAACCAGCCCGGAAAAGGAAGGCCCACAACAGAACCCCCGCAGCAGGGCACGGAAATTCACGCGTGTATCTTTTTTGCCAACATCCATGTGCAACATCCGGAAAGCATCCATGTGGGCGCCCAGTGGCGAGAGGACTCCCGTCCGAGCCTTCATTCGCGCAGGTTTGCTCGTGGCGCATGTGGTAAAATGTGGCAAGCCCACCCTTTTGATGGCCTAAGGCTTTTGCCTCGCATCCCTGCGAATCGAATCGCGCGCGCGCGGCTCTCCTGCCCTGTCGCCGCCGCGTGCGCGTGCGCATCCACCGACTTGGACCTGGAGCGCACTACCACCTTCGAGTGCGCCGAGATGGGCCTGGCAAGCCGCCCGAGTGAGAGGAAAACAAGAATGGAAAGCCGAGAGGAGGGGGGCATGAGGAATGCACGTAAAAATGCGGCCAAATGAGAACCAGGCTAAATATTGGTCTCATTTGTGTGAATCTAAAAGGGAACAAAGAGGAACCCCCCCGTTTGGGTTCCCCTATTGGCAAACAACCCAAATAGAACAAGGCCCAACATATGCCACCCTGGAACTGACAGAATCCTTCTTTGGCCTTTGCTAGAATCAGTAAAGCTCAAGCTTACGCGTCTTGGGGGCCTATGGATTCAAGAAATATCAGGTCGACTAGAAGCCAGTTGGGCTGCCAGGAAGAAACTCCTTGGGAGCGAGTCGAAGTCGCCCTCAACTTAGGGACCTTGTATAATAGTGGTCAGTCTGTTCACAGGGGTGTGGTTGCACCAATTTTGAAAGGGTTGGCATTGAAAATCATGGCCTTTTTGCCAAGAGATCCCACTCGGTCCGGGGTCCGTGGCAGTGCGGTGCATGGAAACCTCAACGATTCAGCTGAAGTAGACCTGATCTAGGTCCATCTCAGTGAACCCACAAAAGTTTCTGCTCACTTGTCTCCAGGACCTAAAAGCAAAAAGTGAACATCTTTGGGGCCGTAAGAAGAAGTTCAGCCTGAGAAACCCTGACTCCCATACTTGATTCTCACAAGCTGTCTAAGTCAACCATCCACAAACTAAAACATCACAAGGTCGCCCGTGTTACCTGCTTCATAATAATAACAATTGTCATTATTGTTATCATTATTATTATTAGTAGTAGTAGTAGTAGTACAAGTAGTAGTAGTAGTAGTAGTAGTAGTAGTAGTAGTAGTAGTAGTAATCCTATCATCATCATCATCATCATCATCATCATCATCATCATCATCATCATCATCATCACCATCATGATCATCATGATCATCATCATCATCATCATCATCATCATCATCATCATCATCATCATCATCATCATCATCATCATCATCATCATCCTCTTCCTCATCATCATCATCATCCTCATCCTCATCATCATCATCATCATCATCGTCATCATGGGCATGGTCATCAAAATACTGATCGTCATCAAAATATTACAAAATAAAAGAAGGAAGTCTCAAAGGAAACTCGTTTCAAGTTGGCCTTTCCAAAGGTAAACGGAGATGATCACACGGCAAAGAGGCTATAGTATGTTCCAACCGAAAGGGGGAACATGGTGACCACCCGTATCGCTGATGCTTCAGAGTTCGCTCATGTCCGAACTGGTTGCTGGGAAAATGACAATTCGCTGCTGATTTGCCAGTTCCCAAAACGAGGAAATGCGCATCTCCCCATCCCGCAGGCCAAAGCGCCTTTTGCGGATCACTTCGGGTGAGGAGTTCCTCGGCTGCATCGCAAAAATCGACCTCGTCTTCAGAACCTCCGCAGATGTATCACACAAGATCAAGGGCGGTAGTTGATAGCTGGGCCTCATATCCTCGAATTTTGAGGAACAATGCCCCCGCACGTTGTCTTTCAAATTTTCGTCTGGGCCAACTGCTTCCCAAGGCGCCCAGGCGGCGAGGGCTCGCGGGTGGCGATGGAGGCGCCGCTCTCGGAGTGCTGGCCGTGCACCAGCACCTGCCGAAGGCCCCACCAGTACCATGGAATTGAGCTCACAAGATCCCTAAGTCCATGAATATGCTGGGCCCAGTATATAAAGGGATGTGTTGACCCCCTTCCAGGCTTGGTGGGAGGATAACCACTAACATTCGTCTAGTATACTTATGACGTGCTGTGACTCAATTTGTTTTAGAGTACCCCACATCCCATGCGAAAATGTTTCGAGCTTCTAGTCCCCTTCAAACTAAGATGGAACTCAAAAGGACCAAACCAAGGTTCTCAAAGTGGGGAATCTGCTGCGGGGCATTCCTTTCTTCACTCCTTGCTTGTGCCACCGGCGCTGTTAAGCCCGAGGGAAACACTTGTGGGGTGGGGTGGTCCTTTTTGGCAGTATAGCGCGCTTGGCTACGACATGATTGGTTGTAAGGGGGGGGGGGGCACAAGCACCACACGTATCCCATCACGACAATGCCTGCGTGCGCTTTGAAGGCATGGATACGACATGATTGGCTTACGGTAGGGAAGTTCAGGTTTGATACATGGAATGCGTTGGCTTTGCTGTCCTTTTGCAGATGTGACGTGCTGCTGTTCATCATTACTGCTGACATCACCAGCATCGCTGGCCACACCAAAAACACTGAAATCGACAGTGTCACCAACATCGCTGCCATTCTGCAGCACTGACATCAGCCACATCCACAGCACAAGCAGCATCAGTGATCTGGCTCGGCGACATTGCCAGAGAAACCGATATGCACCATTCTTGCATGTCCGACATTGCCAATTGCACTGGCAGCGCCCGACATTACAAACACTGGCATCTTCAGCATCGACTGCAAAATACCCATGTGACTTCAACCTGCAAAAGGGCCGTGAATTTGCGAGGGTCCCTTATAAGCCCGTCCAGGCAGGGGTTCTAACAGACCTCCGCAGCACGACGCACACCACCCGGAACGCGAGGTACCAGGACAAATCTACTATACCTGCGCAAATCCCAGGCGCAAGGACTTTAGCGGTTGGCCCACTGGAAAAGGGCACATCACTCTTTCTCTTGGAAAAAAGAGCTGGCTTTGCCTTGCGCCCTGGATGAAAATACACGGACTTGTCAGCAAGTGTTGCAACACCTTTAATGAAAGGAGGTCCGAGAGGCAGGAGAAGGGCATGGATAGTGAGGCCATTCATGATGGGTATGTGTTTTTGGGGAAACGCGAGGCCACAGCACAACTAGTGTGATGAAACGTCCAAAGTGGTCGCCCCTGAGCAGTCATGACTTTGCTGAAACCAATCAACGGTTGGATGAGTCTGAGCTGTCCAAAACAGTTGGTGCTGGTGGTTGCCCTGAAGCACACATACGCACGCGCACGCACACACTCCGGGCCTTCGGCACGCGGTTCACCTTTCAAGCACGGCAAGGGAAAGTTGAATCCTTCGCCCTGGATACGTCCTTGGTTTCTGTGCGTAACTTGGATGTGTCCCTTCTGGTGCGCCCCAATTGTGTCTGCTTTGGAGCTGGTGGGCTCCAGTCACCTTCAGGACCTGCAACCATTTGGACCCTAGAATTGAACAAAAGAAACCCAAAAGGGTCAAAACCATCGAAAAGTGAGGTTTGGGTTGCCCGCGGGAAAGAAAAAAAAGGGAGGAGGGGGGGGGGGGGCGGGTTGGAACAACCGAGGAAACAACGGCCAAAAGGTCCGCCGATGTCCAGACAAGCCCCAATCTTGAGCTTGTGCTGTGCATCAAAAGTCAAAAAAGAACAGGACCCTCTTGATAATGGATTTGGAAAGAGACTTCGAGACGTGTTCAGCCACTAAACGGAGGTCGACTACACAAAGAACGCCCAGAAATGAACCTTCATGGGTGATGTCCCAAATCCCTCTGTAACACGTCCATTTGCCAAGATTTATGCTCGCTTTGTCTCAATCCGGAGGACCCCTTGCGAAATGAGTAACATTTCGCTACAGAAATCTTGGATCAATCCGGATGGGTCCACCTAACCGACATGGACTCTATGAGGCACAAAAAGCGTCCTTCGTTCCTAAACAAGTGGAAAGACCATCCTCTTCTCAGCCCCGAACACAACTGTCTTTCTGGTTTGTCTGTGTCCTTCCAGCTTGAGAAAGCGGGCGGTCGGAACAAATGATTCCAACCCTCTCGGACTCATTGCCGCAATGAGCATGTGCCCCGAAGAGAAAACGACAACTCCAACTCCCCCCAACAGGCATCACATTTCTTGCGGGAAGCAGTCCGAGCCCACTTCCCCCTCTGCTTGCCGACTGACAGAACATCTTTAGCATGGCCCGCTCTGCGCCGAGTGTGTTTCGAGTTTCTGGCGGAAAACAAGCTAGGCGCCCAAGTGCCCTTTGGAAACATAAGACTGAAGTTCCAGGCAGCGCAAACGCTTGGTTCGCTTGCACACATAAACGTTTGCGCACTCCGTCCAACTCTCTTGCTTCATGCTCACAAAGTCTTGGCTAGTACGAATGGTGGGTGGAGAAAAAAATGATCGCAGGCTGGAAAGTTAGTTTCTGTCCGAGACACTACAGCATGCCCCTGCATCTACTGCAAAAATGTGCTTACCTTACCGCCTTCCCATTTGGGTTGGTGTCTACGCAGTGGAATGCGTGGTTTTCTTTGAGCTTCCCTTTAAACCAAAACAAACCTTCCAAGTAACGCATGCCCTGGCGAATCTCAGAATTGCACCTGACACCTCCCACCCCCTGAATCCACTCCCACCCCAAATCGGGTCGGCCTGGGTGTTCACCACCCGTGCCTCACGGGATGTGACGAAGTTTGTCTCAAGGCACTCTCCATGAGCATCAGCTTCGAAGCTTCGGCTTCCCTCTACAAGCAAATGAACCAACTCAAGACACAACGGGTGCATTGGTTGAAGTGGCATCAATTGGAACAAACCAGGTCATCCCGTAACAGCGAACCCCAGATAAATCACATCAACGTGGCTCCTGTCGTTGATACCGTGCATGGTTGCGAGATCCATTTCGCACCCAGAAGCCATGGTTGACACCGTTGCCTGTTGGTGATAGGGAAAACTCGGCATTCTCCCCCCCGGCGTCTTCCAAGTCGACCGTCACCGACCGACTCGACCGCTCGCTGGCTCGCTGGCTCGCTGGGCTTCCCGGCGCCCTCCTTCTCCGCAGGCACCGGAGAGCCGGTGGAGAAGCCCCGCTGGGGAGTGGACCAGGCCTGGCGGACTCCCGGCACGGGTCACTGAAAGAAGAAAAAAACGGCGGAGGGCGGTTTTGGTCTTTCTGTCTTTTTGTCTTTTTAAGTACCCTTCTTTGGGCTCTGGGATTGGACGAAATAGGTCCGACTGCATCTTGAGTTCTCAAATTCAAACTCAACCGAAGTTGGGGCAAGTGAACCACGCCCTGCCACAAACAAAATGTCCTTGTTTTTTGTTCGCATGATTAATCGTCAACTCATGTTTGTAATAAGATTGGCTTCCCCTTGGTGGGTGTGACGGTTCAAGGGGGGCTCTGAACACGCCACATCCACACACAACAGCACAGAAAATGCCACATGATTGAAATGCCACGAATCTTCGCATGCAACATGGAGTTGGCATCAGACCAGGCTCCACTTTCTGCCGCAGACCCCAGCGATCGGCGCCCCGCCTCCGCAGACGGGGCAGCCGGGGCGGCGGCGGGAGGCTTCTTCACCACCCCAGTGACCCGCACTTTCGCCCGCTGTGGCTCCATGGCGCCGGCAGGGTTTGGTTCGCTCGCGGCAGGGTTTGGTTCGCTCGCGGCGGTTTGGCTCTTTGCAGCGTGTCAAACGCCTTTCTTTGACTAGCTTGTGGAAGAAACACGAGAGTTAGTGCATTGTGTTCACGGTTGTGTGGGGGAATTGTCCATGCTGAAAACCCCAAGACGAAACACCTCAGTAAAACGTCGCAGGATCTTTAACCTTCATCCTTACGTACATCGTTCCCCTCGATACCTATAGGGGAAACTACATGCACGCATGTCTGGTCGGCCCGGCTCGAGCTAAGACCCAAGTTCCAGGCAATGAAACACCCCGGATGAATGAGGGGTAGCTCGCTTTCACCCAGACGGCTCCATGTTAAGAAACCCTCTGATTGCTGTCTACTGGATGAATCTAAAGGATTATCAGGCTATGTTAAAAGTAAGCCTATGAACCAATCGCTACATAACCAGGCCCTGGGACATGTCCTCTTTCCTGTCGTCACTGCTATCTGTCATGTTCCCTCTGTGTCTTTCAACACTCCACCGGCATGGAAGGAATCAATGAGCCATGGTCAAAGTAGCTTACCCATAAACACATGGGACTACTAGCGAGTCTTTCGGTGTTGATCCAAATGTGTAAACCTCTTCATACCCCAAAGCTTTTTTCGCTCCTAGTGGCAGGCAGCGCCACATGTGCTGCAAATTCATCCTGCTTACAAGCATATTTGAGTGCCTGTGCTGAATCAAATTTTGCAACGTCAAAGCAGCGATGAATGTCCCATGTCGATGACAGATTTATGATCGAATGCATCACTCACTAGCAACCTGATTCAAAATGGATTGATAAACCTCATCTATTCACAAGTTCCTAATTTCCCCAGTCACTAACTAACCCGTTCCAATTAATTCATAATCCGCCCTACACCAAAACAAAACACCAGTGACGTCCTGAGTTGCCTGGGAAGAAGTGGTTCCGTCAGTCTGTAGAAAGGAAGCCCTGAACGGGGACCCCCAACTAGTCAATGCTGACTAGCAACTGTTCAAACTGTGGGCATGCTCCGTTCCCCTTAGGTTCTGGGAGAAAGCCCAACGCTTCAACAAGAAACAATGCTGAACAGGGACTCTTGCCTCTTCAGTTTCACTTCACCCGCTTCCCCACAAAACAAGATGAAGCCCATGGGTTTGATCCCAATCACTTAAAGCAAACCCAATGCCGCGCTCACCCACCGCCCCACCCACCCGACCGCTTCCGTCGCGGGGCGCGGAGCATCGCCAGCTCCACCGCCAAGGTCTCCGTCTCGATGGCCAGCGCACCTCCGAAGAAAAGGACGCGAAATCCAGCCGGGGCGAATGTGCGGCTGGATATTTTCAGTCTGACCGACCCGATGGGATTGGTTGCTCCATGGTGATGAAGGCGTGGTCGATTGCTTCGCAGGCCCAATCTGATCTCAATTCCGCGTCACATTTGACACCACCCCGGCGTTGGTGGGGTTGCAGCCGACAGAGATGAGGCAGGGTCAAACGCGACCGTTCTGCCACAGAGGCATTGTTGGGCAATCCTCATTGGTTTATGCTTTTTCCTTCAAAGTACCTATGTTGAAGACCCATACGAAACGATTGCTTCAAACGCTCTCTCCCACAAGCTGATGCGGCTGTCGTCTTCCCAAGGAGAGTTCCTTTGTGGCGGATTGCGATTGTTCAGCCTTCTGATGATGACCAGCCAATCAGTGCAGGCATCATGCCGCAGCAGCAGCGTGTTCCTGCTCCGTGGGGATCAACCTGGTCGAACGCCCTGCGAGACCATCCGGTGCATCAGTTTGAGCATCTGTGCAGAGCACGTGTCAAAATCGAGACCAATCGCCACTGGCATGGCTGCTTCCGATATGTGGAGAGCAGTTTTGAGAAGTGCCAATACATGATGCGCCGCCGCAGCTTTCGTGCGCACGCGCATCCAACTGCAAAGGTGCTGGTCGAACAGTTTGCATTCGCCATGGCCTGCGCAGCGGGCTGGAGAATAGGCTTGATTTTTCTTAGCATTTTTTGGACTTACATTCCCTCAACCCTAGTGATAATCTTTATTCAGGAAACAGGCCTCGCAGGCCCACGACGCCTGGGGCCACAAACAAGACTGAGGGCCTGGGTGCTTGTTGATTGAGTTCACGCCTGAATCCGAAAAAAGACACCAGGCCCCTTGGAAAAGCCTTGTTTCCGGCCCCAGGCGATAATCCAACACAAAGCACTTGGCCCACTGGCGCCCAAAGAATGCAAGTACAAAACATGGAGCCGAGTGGAGCCGATGTGTTTTGTTTGGTGACTTGTATGGTCGAAAGTCTGAAATGAGTAAATCCAAGACAACAACTGGTAATGTGAATTAACACTAATACAAAAAAGCCCCTGGAGAGCACGAAGATAGTGAAGGCGCAGCTTCCCTGTGGAAGCATACCTGGCTACCCCTGGGTCATGGTGCCAACAGTTGTGTCTCCAAACTAGAGCTTGCCTCGTCAGGGCATTAATTTTGGGTTTTGCTCAGCGGTTTACAACAAATAAAGAAGGTCTGCTAGCCGTGTTGCGACATTCTAGAAGGATGTCTTGGTACCACGGCAAATGTTTCATTCCCCACGAAGAAGCACCTCAAAAGTTGGGGAGTTTCAGTCCCTGAGATTTGAGGTCTATGGATCTTTCTATCCCCCTTCCAGGGTTGTGGGCGGGTGAAGATCGGAAAGGGTGGTGCTTTGAGGGGAGTTTATAGCGAATGTTTCCAATGTCGAGGGACAGTCCTGCGCTGGGCTACCAAACAAGCACTCTTCGGGAATATCCTGCGTAGGCTCACAAGACAGTTGTGGTGGCATCTGCAGGCACGCATCGCTGCAGCAATTGACGCAGGAGCCACAGATTGTGGGCTGGTGTGCAACCTCCAAAAACACGCTGCCAAGATGGCCAATTCTTCAGGCGGCCATTCGCCTTGGTCGCCTAACGCCGTTGCGCGCGGATGGTTCGGTGCCCTCAGCCCCATGATTCATGTGAGTGAGCCCGTAGGTGCCCTACTGGCTTCCTTGAGGTTTGTGCCCTCAGTTGCGCCGCAATGCTTATCATCAGTTTGACGCTGGATGCCAGGCTGAAGACCGTGACGCCTCAGGCGGAGCCACTTTCATGCGTGGATGTCTCGTCGGGCAGGGCTGATGGCCCAGAGGAAATTATCCAAGTTTGCCTGCCACCGCTAAAGATCGGTTGAACCACGCCAATGTGCCCCGGCATTCTATGCCTTCCGTGACAGCGCGCGTGACTATCGTCTCATGGTTGCGTCAGCCCAGTGGGTAATGCCACAGGCAAGTTTAGTCTTTGTCGCCCATGTCAGAGACTCCTCCTTCGCTACACCGTCGCGCCGACGAGTGGCCAATCATGCCTGGATCCAGGAGGTGCAAGAAAATCTACAAAAGCGCCAGTATCTCGCATCGTTGCCAGATACTACGCAGCAGCGCGTGAGTTGTTCTCAAATGGCACTTGCAGCCATCCTCGTGACCCGCCTCACTTTGCCGCATGGGCAGTGGTGGTTGCCGGCTATGTCGAGGAGGAAATGCAGACTGAGGCGGATGCGTGAACCTCGGTTCGAAGCTGAATTGTGTGCCTCCCTTAGCGCGGTCGTCTGTGGAGTGGCAGTCACTTTGTGGACCGATTGCACGGCGCAGCGAGAGTAGTATACGTGCGTTGCAACGTGGCGCAAGGGAAGTCATGACCTGTGGACCCAGATCGGCCTGGCATCAGAGGACTGACAGTTGAATCACCACCACGGAAACTCACCTTGACTGACAGCCACAAGTTTAAGTTCAAAGCCAGCCTGTATTCTAGTTTCTAGATTCTCCTTTTGGTGGGGGAATGGATGTGTTAGGTTGGAAACTTAGGTAACTTCCTTGCAGCATTCCCGAAACGGCTCTCCGCACCTGCGATGCGCGCGGCTTCTCCGAACGCCTTCCAGAAGTAGAGGAAGTGCACCTCTGGGACGATGCCATATGTATGCTGGCTGGTTGATGATGGTTGCAACCCGTGCTTGTGTCAAGAACTCCTTCTGCTACCTCGTCTCAGCAGTTGTAGAAACTGTTGATTGTGGATTCCTCTCCCGTAGCTTTTGGGGCTCTCTTCCAGGACCTGAAGAATTCTTCGACCCTTCTCTGCACATGGTAAAATACTATGTCTGCCTCTGACGTAGGCGTCCGGAAAAGCCCTCCATACCGGGCTACCCAACACATTAATAAGTCGGGCCAAGTGATAGTAGCTCATCTCACCTCTGTATCTGTTGGAAAACGAGCTCCCAAGGCAGGTTACCCTCACCCTATGCAACCGGCCCACTGGCCCTGCCAGTAATTGCTGGAGCATCTCGCCCCGCTCCAATCAAGTCACCTTCAGCAGACTTATCGTGTTGCAAGCTGGCAAAAAAATCCTGAAATCGATGCTCACCGCACCACAAGAAGCAGGAAAGGAACACATGTTTCAAGCAAAGGCTCAAATGGGTGTGTCAGTTTTTGAGGGTACCTTTTGGCTTTTGTTTGGGGAGCCCCATTTTGAGACAAAGCCGAATGGTTCGCAAGTCAGCTCCAAGAGCTGCCCCAAAGGACGAATTGAAACTTCCGCATGTTTCATGAGGAACGTGGGAGCACCCTCAAAGCCCCCACCAAGCCTGAACCGTGAAAAGGCTTCGTAAGCCTCAGCCTTTGTCAAGCCTTAATATGTAATAGGAGAGCCGCCTTTCATGAAACTACATGAAACTTCCAGACCTTAGTAACCAAGGCTGCCTTGCAAAACGTCTTACAAGGCCTGACAAGGAGTCTTACCGAGCGTCTTACAAGGAGTCTTTCAAGCAGCGAATTCCAGGGCCAGCAAAAATCAAGATTCGTTCTGAATGCGAAATTCCGTGGGCTTTAGTGGCGCAAGGCCATGGCTGCAAGCTGGCCACTTTGGCCCGCGAAGCCCGTCCCACTGGCAACATGGGAGAGCTCGGAACAAGGGCCAACATGGGTGTCTCAAAAGTCCAAGTTAAGTTACCCTTTAGACCCAACGGTTGCACCCCCCACGTATCCCCCAGCCCCAGCCATTCAAGGAGCCTTGCCCTCCTGCGGCCGCAACATCTGCACAAAGATTGCAGGCTCGCCTCGAGGCAAAAAAGGCCTAGTTCTTCAAATATTGAATTCAGAGCCCCAGAGCCATTGGCCACACAGGCACATGGGACAGAGACACACAGAGACACACAGAAACACAGAGATTGACACAGGCAGAGCACAACAGACCGAACAGACAGGACAGAAAGGACAGCCGGACAAACAAGGCTGTGTCATGCTGTAAAAGACAGCGATTTTTTAGCAAGCACCATCAACACACCAGCATCGTTTTAGCACCCTCAGCATCGCTTTTCAACACCCGCTAAGCTTTGGTTTAGGCTGGGTTTAGGCTGGGTTTAGGGTGGGTTTGAGGTTGGCTTAGGGTTTTTAGGCTTGGGCTGAGTTTGGGTAGGGTTAGGGTTGGTTCAGGTTGGGTCTGGGTTGGCTTACGTGCGTTTGGGGTTTGTATAGGACCGCCCAAAATCAAATCAAAAAGACACACACACACACACACAAAATCAGCCAGCCTGGAGGAAGCCAAAAAGGAACATCCAAACAAACAAAATAAAATTCCAGAAAAATCACACTCCTCTTAAAGATAGCCTTGGATTTCATGCATGGGCGGTTCTCAAAGTTAGGATCCTAAGTGGCTAAATTTGAGTTTTTCCGCTCATTGATCGACAAGGGCTCCCGTTTTTGGCATCTCCCCTTTGGATGCCGCCATATATAAGTGAGAAGGCAACCAAAAGGCAGTGTAAAGAGAGTCCCTTTACATAGCTTTTGTTGAAAACGTCAAGAATTATCTCACCTCCTTTGCACTAACCAGGAAACCAAAGGACTGAACTCACCAGTACATTAGGCTGAAGGGCTGCTCTCTCCAAGCGAAACTACAGTCGGTGGTAGCGGTCGTCCGCCTTCCCCGCCTTCCTGCTCCACAAAGAGCCGGCCCAGGTCCGCCGCGGACTTGGACCTCTCGACGGACTTGCACCGAAGCTCACAAGGCGCCCTCGTTTTGGGTATCGCCTTGGAAAGGGATGATTGAAGGGGAGCTCATAACTTGATATATTGATCGGGAGAGTCTTCCCAACAAGAATCATCGGGGAAGGCAATTCAAAGCCAAACAAAGGGCAATTTGCACCCCACATGCCCCGAGAGAGGTGGGGAGTTATTGCCTTCCCCGAACAAACATGGGCCCGCTCAAATTTGGAAAAAGAAAAAATGTTTGGGGATCCTTCGGTTTCAAAACATCTGGGCACCTCCTTCTGGCAACATATCGGATTGATTTCCGGCTTGGGGCCGTACGTCTGGACGCAAAAACAAACCGGAGGTCCATGTCTCCAAGTGGGGAGCCCTGAAATTGTGAGTTTTACTATGCCTTGCTTTTAGAAGTCCTCATACAATCCAGGGAATGGAAAATCCAGAAAATGGATATTACAGTACACCTCCTACCTCACTCACCACTGGACTGGTTGGAACAAAAAAAAACACATTCAACTTCACTTGTAATTCCTTCAAAATACAACGGCCAAACACAGCGACACTCAACAGCTTGTGACACCCACTACTCACTCGCTCCCTGCTCACCATCCTAGAAGCAGAGTGACGAACACAACAACAACAAATATGCTTAATATGCTTGTCGACAATCAAATCGGCTAACAAAGCCACAAAGCCTCCTGCTCACCCAACCCAAAACACATGCCTGAACCTTAATACAAATATATTGTAGAATAATGTATATTCATATATGCGTCTGTATATTATGTGTATATATACATATATATATATGTATGTATACGCGTATGCAGTGGGTCTCTCTGGCGTCTTGACTAACGTTCCCCCCCGCCTGCAGGGGATCCGCCCGGCGAGCCGGGAGGCGGACAGCCGAGAGCTGTCCAGCACCTACCCCCAGATCCGAGGATGGCCAAGGCTCCCGGATCCGTTTGCAATAGCTTCTGCCGCCTCCCCCCCCAAACTGGAACTTCAACCCTCCTCCCAGAGAAGCTGGAAGAGGCCAAAAATAGTTGTCCCAATTACTGATCACTAACAATGCCGCAAGAAACGGAAAACGGCTTTGAGCGCACTCAAGTTTTGCCCCATTCTACATGAAACATTTTAAAAGTTGCAAAAAGCAGTCGCCACCGTTTCA